TTGAGGGCTCGCTCTTTATATTTGGATGGTGTCCATCCTTCCCAGACTCTGAATTTCTACCTAAGATCTGCATCCTACCAGAAAATAGTATCATCATACTTCCTCGGATGACAAATCATGCATCGATTTCATGTTTTGTACATTGTGGGAGAACAGATTGATGTTTGAAGCTAAAGAAACTGTTCGAAAGGGACAGGACTTTATTCAGGACTGTTCAAACAGACAGTATAAAATTTGAAACATCTGGCTTGCACAAATTATTTTTGATTCTCATGAATGCAAGTAAGATGATGCTTATAATTTACATGATATTGTGAGCTTATAGCAACCAGTCACCAGCTGTATATTTTTGGTTTCTTAATACATAAATCAAGTGGTAGATTCTTCAGAGTACTATCAGGTTCTCTTTTGGCAGATATCATCAGCAATCTATATCAATAACATCCATCAAGGACACAGCAAGATCTCTCCTTAGTTTTTTAATACGAATAATGACAACAAAAAGTTGGCCTTAGGCCTTATGAACATAAACAGATCAGTTTCGGAGTGTTCTGCCAACAGATTCATTAACGAAAAAGTTCATTGAATGTTGAATTAGTTTGGAAGGGAACACACATGGAGCTATATTGCATATCTAGGTTGCTCTGCATATTGGATAAGAAATCGACAAGGAAGATCATACCAATATAACAAACTGATGACTAACTGCCACAAATTAGTAAGGTATGATCTTAAATTAAGCTCAACTAAAGGCTCCAAGTAAAAATTACATTAGCTGTATCGAAGACCAAAGAATACATGAAAGCTGATGACTAACTAACACAAATTAGTAAGTTATGATCTTAAATTTAGCTGAACAAAAGGCTCCAAGTAAAACTTACATTAGCTGAAGCAAAGACCAAAGTACATGAAAACATAATTAACTACAACACTATGTGCAAATCCTTCAGCAATCCATAGCCATTGTACCTTCTTCATACTGACGACACACTCCACAGAAATAGTTTAGTTGAGCACAATTGCTTTCCTAAACGATAAAATTTACAACCGTAATCAAGCTAAGTCGACATTGTAGCGCTTCTGTAACTCAGCAAATTCCCTGCAATTCTTTCTTCGTGAAGACCAAAGCGTTCCACATAGATCCAATTGGCGAGAAGTCGACAATATCTTTGTATTGATGGAATGCTCCAACTTAGTGAAAGCATGGCTTTAAGTGATCTGGTAAATGTTCATAGCTCAGCTAAATTCATATATCTCAGGTCAGTCGAGTAAATCGCATTTTACTCGGCACCAAACATTTCCATGACCTGGCGAAACTTACCGCATGCTTCCACAAATCAACACCTCTTGCACATTCCAATAACAAGAGGAGTCATAGAATACATAGCTAGAGGCAGTCCTTTACAGTTGGAGCAATTTACTACCTAACTATGCGCGATTTAATTTTTCCCGAAACTTCTTTAACCCTAGCACCTCCTAACCTCATACACTAACACCTTATCTGACGCTAAATTGCTCCACATATCATCCATTACCAAAAGGTGCAGATCACATGTCATCCAGAACGATGAGGTATCTTTTGCAATTCAAGTATAAACACGATGCCTCATCTAAATCTGTATCGCTCGCGACTAAATCTAGAACAGGTAAATTAGCTTCAAATATCAAACGGTTGAAACACGTTTGAGACACAGTAGGCCAGGAACCAAATATAAACGAGCACAGAACAGATTGACATGATTTGAACACAGAAAGTCAAGAGGTGTGAGAATGAATTTACCAAGATCAGTCATTCCGATTCGATCGATCGGTGGTAGATGATATGATTGAGATCGTAACATGTCGTTCCTCCATCAATCGTCTGCACTTGAACAAGTGTATACATCCCATTCGCATCTGATCGATGATGAAGCCACAATAAGTGTTGCCATTTTTCCATGATTTCTTCTTCTAATTTGAACCGAAGGAAGGGGAAGATTAGACTTTAGAGGGGGAAGTGAGGAAGCCAACTAGTCAACTGATGAGCTTGAGAGATGAGAGTATCTGATTCTAATCTGATTTGAATATATAGAAATTGCACACAAAGAACAAAGTAAACAATTCACAAGGAAGCTGATTGCTCTCTGATCCTCATAGTCTTAGTTAACTATAATAAGCCCCTAAATTTATAAAGATTTTTTTATTTGTTTAAAAAAAAAAAATTGGTTGACAAACTTATAAGGATATTTCATCACTTAAAAGTCTCCCCCAAAAAAAAAAAAAACCGTGCATCATAGTAATTCATAATGTATCCATACTATATTTTACATTAATTTGGTACTCTCTGGTCCTCGCTTAGTACATTCTATCAATTAAAAATAAAATTTTAAAATTTTTTATCATAACTAGAAGAACCCAATAAATATGAGAATATATTTTAAAAATTTTATTTTTAATTAAAAAATATTAAAATAAAATTTATGACATAAAAGAATTATAATAATGATCGAATGGAGTATGATTTTTTTTGGAGGGGGGGCGGGGGGGAATGGCCGGCGCTTATAATGTTCTAACATCGTTCCTGAAACGTTAAAATAAGTTGAAACCTGTATTACAACATTACAAATATTAAAGTCAATTTTCAGAAATTGTTATGTGATTCTATAGCATCCATTTGATTCTTATATGTAATGTACACTTCTTATTTTCTCGTTTCTCAATGAAGCCGATTATTGCATATTTGTGAGTAAACAAATAATTAATATTCGTGATAAATGCCAAAATCTTATTATTATTATTATTATTATTATTATTATTATTATTATTATTATTATTATTATTATTGGTAAACATGCAATAATCTAACTCAACTAATCTTCCACCCTTGCACACAGATTGAATTTTCCAGTATACCTCATGTTTTACCTTCTTGACTCTGTCTTCAACCTGAGAAGCCAACTGTTGAAATTTTCTTTGATTATACTTTGTCCAGACTCCAGATGTAGTATACTATAGCAACCACAACAGAAAAGAGCACTTTCTACTTTAACTTCTGGAACCTCTAGATCTTCAATAATCTAGGTACACTTGCCTTCAATTGCAGAATAGCAAAATTCAATCAAGAGAGCATGCAGGACCTGTTGAGAATAAGAACAAGTGAAGAAAAGATGGTCTGTGGATTCCACCCCCTGACCACACAGCTCACAAAATTGAGGACCATTCCAAAGATTCAGCAATAGCAATCTACTCTGACTTACAACTTATCTTTCAAAGCTAACCAGCAAATGAAACAGTGCTTTGGGAATGTTATATGTACTCCACATCAGCCTGGAATCTCTACATTTACTCTGATGTCCCCTTAACCACTCATAACTAGATTTTGCTGAGTATTTTCCCCCTGCTTTTCAAGCCATAATCCTTGCGAAACGCCTGTCTTAATCTTTTCTTTGATCAACATGAGCTTTCTCCAACGCCAGCCACAATTCTGTGGAGGTTGATAATCCCAACCTCTTTCCTTTTCAAGTAGTAAGAGTGAATCCAACGAATCCACATACTTTCTTTCTTTGCAACTATATCCCAAATCTGCTTGGGTACGGTGGCCTGATTCTAGATTTCTGGGCTCTTAATGTGCAAACCTCCTTCTCCCTTAGCCCTTCACTCTTCGTCCCATGCAACTATTGACCAGGCTCTACCAAAGTCTTTCTTCCCCCATAAGAAGGCCCTACAAAGTCTTTCAATCTACGTAATCACAGATTTAGGAATGAGAAAAAATACCAATCCAGTACGAGTGAAGATTTAGCAGAACCGAGTTTATCAAAACAAGCCTTCCTGCGTAGGAAAGATGGCGCGTAGACCAGCACTTCAACCTTGCAGAGGGGATAAGGTAACACCAAGATAACAAATAGGGAAATGACTGACCTTGAAACCCATGATTCCTTGAATTTGATCCTGCAACTCCTCTGTAACACCACCAAAGTAAACATCTGATTTCTGATTGTTGACAGTAAGTCCTGTAGTATCTTCAAACTCTTTAAGGACAGATTTGATCGTTCTTGGGGATGTCAGCCTGGCTGATGATGATTAAATCATCAGCAAAGCTCAAACTTACAATTTCAAGCTGTTCACAATAATGATTAAATCTAAAATTTCCTTTTCTTATTTCTTTTCTGAAGATCCTTGTGAGATACTCCATGACAATTACAAAGAGAAGGGGTGATATGGGATCCCCTGCCTAAGACCCCGTTTACCCGAAAAGTAACCAGTATTCTGGCCATTTAGATTGAACATGAAACTGGCTGTGGTGACACACTCCATTACCCAACCTATGAACTTAGGGGGGAAATTCAATTTATGAGACTTGATTAATCTCAACCAGGGGGCTTTTGTCAAGGGTAGATCAATCTTCCATAATGTGTTGCTCACTCAGGAATTAATACGTTTATATCGAAGGAAAAATATCAAGACATGTTGTCTTATGAAAGTGAATCTGAAAAAGACCTTTGATTCTGTGCATTATTATTATTATTATTATTATTATTATTATTATTATTATTATGAGGAGACGAAGTGATAAACAATAGAAATTTAAAGTCATTTCCTTGTTATTATTTCACTAGCAAAAGAATGAATTACATTCATTGTTATTATAAATATCATTTTTTTAAGTCAAGTTCATTGATATTTTACGCCATGTGACAAAAGTATCAGAGACTATATTATTTAATGCAACTCTAAACCTTTCATGTGATAGATTTTTTAAACTTTTTTTCCTATTTTTTATTTACTTATTTCTTATATTGTAGAAGTTGTATATTTTTGAGGGCCGTGTTAAATAAAATAATAAATACATGGAAATTCCATTAATTTCTACACCAGTTATAATATCGTGGGCCCCCTCAAACCCGTGGAGCAAACCGGACCGGTCTGGGCGTATAAAGTCCTCTGGGCATTTTTGGAGTAAGGAGAAAGGAGTAATTTTAATTTTCTCCTACAAAATACATTTTGTATTTTATTGTTGAAAAATGCAATCACTTTCTATACTGTCGCCCTCTTGCCTCCCGCCATTGTTTGCCGGTGGAAACGTCACTAGAACGCCGACGAACCTCCGATTAGCATCTCTTTCCGTCGCCGGACATCATCGGACCATCATCCACGGCCACAACCGCAATCTTCTACGTATTATGTCTTCAGCATCAACTATAGGTACTGATTCGGGTATGGGCACGGGAAGTGCAGTCGGGGCACCGAAATGGGTACAGAAGACCATTACCTTACCTCGGCAGAGTCGAGGCTGTCATCTGATCACCTCAAAGGTAGATATTATCACTCCCGTAACTGAGATTATCGGCTTTCGTTGTATTTCAAGTTTTATTAATATATTACATGTTAAAGTTTTGAAGTCCATTTTTTAACTTCTGTACTTTGAGGATGGAAAAAATTGTGGGGGGATTTTGTATGGTCTTACTTGTTTTAGTTTGATTTTATGCATCGTCAGCTCAGCATATTTGTAATTGGTATGTTAATTGAGAATGAATTCTTCTCAGCTGTCACTTGAAATTTTCGCAGAAGTAGTTTGCATTTGAATGGGACATCTTTCCATGACTGATAAGCTATATTAATTAACATAAAGTGAAATGATGGATTAGTTACTTTGAAAATTACTACTGTCATTAGAAGGATGTTGTGAGAATCTTTTGAAATATTCTTGGAACAACGAAAACAAACTCGGAGTGGGATCTCTTATCTAGGACTACTGGACTCAATGACGTAGTTGTCATATATGGGGCGCCCCTACTTTTTCTGTTTGCCCTTATATACTATGTATTCCCTTGATTGTATCGGTGAAGATCTTTTGTTGCTTAAGTGTAAGTCTTAATTTTCAGCCTTTTGTTGCTTTATTGATTCTCTTTTCACATGATACCATATTCTAGATTTTGAAGGAGATTGGGCAAGAATTGTCGGGGTTCAAATGTGGTCTTGCACATTTCTTCTGTAAGTGCTGTTATAAGCTCTTTTTCTAACGGTTACAATTACTATGAAAACCTGATTGATTTTGCACTGTGTATAACATCATTCAAACTTTTTCGTTTCCTTTTGGAACAGTGCAGCATACTAGTGCTTCCTTGACCATAAATGAGAATTATGATTCCGATGTTCGAGATGATACTGAGACCTTTCTGAATAGGATCGTCCCGGAGGTCAGTATGGTGTTTTACTAGTTGAGATTCCATACCAACCCTGTATTTTTGTTTCCCTGTCATTTACGGTTAGAGCTTTGATTACAGGGACGTTCAGCTCCATGGAAGCATACTATGGAAGGTCAGTGAACAGATTTCTCCATAGTGTTAAAAATTATTATTCTTGCTTAAAGTTTCCAGTGTACTACGTTATCTTCCCAAATTTACTTTCCTGAAGAACTGTATTAGCTTTCGACGATTAATTGTGAGTGATCTGTTTTTCGTGAAGAAACTGCAGTTTGACTAGGTTTATTTGTGCTTATTCAAATGTAAAGGTTGCTGATGTGGTCATAAATAGTAAAGTTCGCCCTTACTGTATGTATTTTCTTTTGACTAGTATCACCATCCTCTTTGGAAAAAGGAAGGATATATTGATGTTGTTCATTTGGAAAAATATATTGATTTTGAAGTTTGTCGATTTGTTTTCGAATTCTGATGGGTGTAGTAAGTTATCACTGCTTTAAAGGTGTACGATACATTTGATCCTACACATGTTGAGATTTGCAGCTGATGAGATTTTTATTTGGGCCGGGTGTAGCAGAGGTTGAGGTTGGGGGCTTTTTCCATTTGATTAATGTTTATAGTCCACACAAGAATTCATACAACAACACTTACAGCATGTTTAACTACAAACAATATAACAAAAGTTTATTAGCTACCGGCTTCCAAAGAAAAGCGAGCTTTTCCATGAAATCCCCACACCAAAGATAATACCAGAGACCCCATACCTGTTTATTTTCCATCTAATCTCAACAATATGCATGTCGAGATTTGTAGCTGATGAGATTTTTAAGGTAAACCCTTAACTCTGGTTCCTTGAAGTTATTGAGCCCGCCACTTCACATACACGTCACAGGAACTATGAGTTCTTTATTGATAATCTGAGACATGAGTGATAATAATCAGTTGGTGTACTGCTGCCTAACAAAAACTGAATTTGATGTTACTTTCAGAAGCCTGAAATGATATTTATGTCATTAACTGAACTACACTGAAAAGACTTCTATTACATAGCTGTTATTGTTTGGGTATATTAAACTATTAGTAAAAAATGGATGATAGAAAATTGGATATGTTACGACTTACAACAGTAGCTGATAGGAGATTTAATTCGGAAAGACTACTGAAGCAGTTGCTGACAAATTTCAAGGTGCTGATCTTGTTTCATTTGACTTTGCAGGGCCAGATGACATGCCTGCTCATGTTAAGTCGTCAATGTTTGGTTGCACCCTGACGTGCGTGACATAGATAACTTTCTTTGTGGTTTTCTGTTCTCAAAAAAGTTGTTTTATTTTGGTTGTAAGCCATTGACAAGGTTGTTGGTTCTGCAGGATACCAATTACAAATGGAAAGCTTAACATGGGAACTTGGCAGGTAAATCAGTCTTTTGTGTTGATATCTTGCTCTTACCTTAGTTAATTGTTTGCTTCTCAGATACCATAAGATCTACTCTTTATATTCAGTGGCCGTATTTTCTTTTAGCATGGTTTCTGAAATGTGAACTTTTATCAGCAGACCTGCTCTAAAATTTGAAGTGTTTTTACTAGAGAGAGCGTCATACAGCTTGTCCACACATTTCAAGGTTCACATTCATTAGGAGGTGATCCATTGTTTTAGACCTGAACGTAGCTAGAACTCTTACAATATGGATGACATTGTCATTTTGGTTTGAAAATGTAAACACATGCATGGAGTGTATTAAAACTTGTTCACAAATATGACAAAGGCTGACTCGCTAGTATGGCCTTCTGTTATGACTAAACCTGTTGAGAGCACTGTGAAATTGCGAAATGAGTCGTGTCTTGCCTGTAATATGCTGGATGATGTTTGGTGTATCTATTTGCTCTTAAGTTTTTAACATACCAGTCATGGTGCTTGTATATAAATTATAAAGGTAGAAAATAGAACTTTTTACTTGTAAGTTTTTATATCAGTTCTTGTTAATTTCTATCCGTATATCGTACATTATCCATGCACTCAATTTTTGACATGCAGGGTGTGTGGCTTTGTGAACATCGCGACTCTGCTACCCCTCGCACAATTGTTGTTACCATGAATGGCATTTAAAGATTTAATAACTCGTCCATGTTGGAATAACTCATCCAATGAGGCATTTTGCTGATTTGAAAACAGATAGTCATGTCTTACTGCGTAACATCTTATATTTATATGCAAATGTATTTGAATGTAGTAATTTACAAAGGCCGGAAGATAGTGTGTTTTGGTCCTTTTTAATTTCTTCCCAATTGTACCCTAAATTTATTTTCGGTTATAACCTTTTTCAATTTTGTTACGAATGTTCTATAAATTGATTTTCTATCATAGACTGATGACTTGACTTGGGCAGATCATTTTTTTCCCCTATTGAATGCTGCAACCAAACTGCATTGCCGAGAAATTATGTACAATGGCAGAGGCAGCCATTCTTTGGTATTTCACTGTACGATTGACGAGAAAGTTGCATATTCAGTTGCCGAGAGGTTAAAAGAAGTACAACGTTAGAGGCAACCCGGACATGTGCTATAGCGGGAAAAAATTGCTCCTTAAAAAGTAAAAGTACACCTTGCTAGAATAAAACATACAACTTTTACAAAGTGGATACAATTTGGAAACTAAAACTCAACAAATTCCTGCATTCTGTCAATGCATTGCAACATAATCATATGAAGTGAGATAGTATTACGTATAACTTATTCTAGTAGCAAGAAGGTGTAAAACTTTACGATAGAATACACTCAAAATCCTGGTATTCTATTATTTACTATTTACCCAAGAACACGGGGCAAGGTTGGGAGAATACATCCTTTAACCTGATCTCTTTAGTCTTGAGGTCCGAATCAAGAGATCCGGTAAAATATTACTTGTATGTATGAAACCTCTTAAGTTTGTCAACTAAAATTTCAACGGAAAACCCAAATTTCAGTACCCAACCCCTACACACAAGTGTAATTTTCACGATTTGTACGTTCTATTACACTCTTCTATACTCTTATTACACGTTCTACTGGACACAATCGTATCATACCTTTCGAAGAACAAAAAACTGTACCTTAAAAAAAAAAAAACCTAATATGCACATCAAATTGGAGAAAACCTAGATTCCAAAGAGGACAAATCAAGTGACCAAATACTACCACCTTCAATGAGATAGCGGGATTCAAATTCATATTTGTGTTCCATATCATTCCATCTGCCTTATATGTATCTCTTTTTCAAGATAACAAGTCTTAAAAACAATTACTTCTTCGTTCCAAAATAAAAATCGTGTTTGTTCAAAAAGATTGTAATAAAAATATATTTTCTCATTGAATGACATTGTAGTCTGCAAATAAAAATGTGAAAATCTCTAATACTTTCCTCATAATCTCATTACACACAAACACACACAAAAAAAGGTCATGTTTGTGTCAAAACTTTGTCCCATCTCTCGTCTAAATTTGATGGACCAATAACACCACCCATGAAAATGAATTGGATTACGGAATTGGTTTGACTTTTGAGTTCTATTTAGGAGAAATTTACATTATTTGTTAATTGTAGCATTTCTATTTCACGAATTAGGGTAGAATAATCGTAGCAATCTTATACGATCACAGTTAAGCAATGTTATAGAATCTTTGTTGAGAATGTTCCATTCAGCATTTGTAACACTCTTTGCTGGTCTACATGAATAAATAACAAAATGAAGTACCTTTCGTTCCAAAATGATTGTCATTTACATGATAGAACAACCTATTTGGGAGTAAGAGAATACAAAAAATATTTATTAAACAAAAAAGAGGAGCACATACCAAAGGGCCTTGATAAACTTCACCTAGCAAGTTTGAATAGATATGTACACCTAGTTTGATTTGTTCCTGCGCCATAAAACAATAAAGAGAATACATGAATTGGGGTTTGTACTATCTATGTTTAAGATAGTTAAACTGAAGCGGGTATTGAACGTTTCAACCCATGTAATCAATAACCCAAACTCAAAATCATCTTATCTTTAAGGGATCTGAGGACACGCAATCTCCTTTAAGAAATTTGCATCCCCCATGAATGACGTTTCAAACAGTCACTGTTCAAAGTTTACATGAAAAAATACCAATGCATAAGATTAGGAAGGGAATAATAATCACTAAAATGAACCATTTTCACATTTGTGTGCAACTTGATAGGTATCATTTCAGACATTTTGGCATTCCTTAAACCACCACCAGTCCTCCCAAGTCCCGACCCAACGAAAAAGTTGGGGAAAAGCCATTCACGTATGAAATGGCGTCTTTCAAAGAAGGTTTAATCCATAAGAGGCCAATTAAGAAGATAACCAGTAAAAAAAGAAATAAAAGACGATTTGGTGCTCATTGGCCAGTAGAACATAAATTAACCGCCGTAGATGTGTTTTTGTACAGTGACTCTATCGACCCTATGATTCCATATACTCATAAAAAACTACTGTTTAATCAAGCACAGCTGTCAAGTGCGTGTATGTTATCTAATTTGCGTACCAGAATACGACTGAATAGGGCAAAATTTCTATACACAACAAGGCTTAGGATGCCCCCCGTGTCCAGAAATGGAAAACACCAATTTTCAGTACTTAAGAGGGGAAACTCATCTGCAACTGAGAGACATCTACAAGAATATGGACATCTCATCCATGGGCTACATCCAAAACTGGAAACACCATCATCCATCTCATACCTCTTAAGCAGCACAGTCAAATGTATATTAACCTGAAACAAAAAAGGGGCATTAACAAGCAGGTCAATCCACTATCTTGCAAGACTTCCGAGAAAATTTCAAGCAATTTTGAACAATTCTAGCTTTGTTGTTTGCAAAAAGAATCCACTTCAATGCCGGTCAGTTTTTGTAAACAGTTATCTCCAATAAAAGATACTGCACTTCAAATGAAGGAACAATTCATAGAGCATGCAATAAAACTTACAAAATATGCAAATTCCACTACAATTGACCGGTATAATTTATAGAGAACACTAGAGGCCAAAGGGGAGGAAAAAAGAATTCCAGGATTTGGATATACATGAAAAGTGAGTATATGAATTATCTTTGTCCTGCTTCACTAAGAAAAATGCAATCTACCATATTCAAACTTCAACATCCCAAACCACTCATATCAGAAGAACCAAAACACAGAAAAACTGCATTGACAACTTGAAATCAAAATTGCAAGATTTACTCCTCCACTCATTCATACTAATTTTCTTCTTATTCTTGCTCCAAATACCACTGACCTAAGCTAACAAGCATGACGCAGGACAAAAACGTGGTGGTTAAGAAAATCAGAACTTAGGCTGATTAAAGAGTATTATGCAGCAGGAAACTAAAAGAATCGGTAGGAAACAAGGGTAGAAATCGCAGGAACACAGAGATAAGCTGTAGGAAAAGAGAAGAAAACCTAAGAATCACTCTTAGGGTCCTTTGGCATCACACGCAGGAATCCTAAGCATCACACCAAGGGTTTAGTTGAGTCACACAACTGATGTTGAAAGCAAAAGCTCGCAGGAATTTTATTAATCCGATAAGTGTCCAAAACCCTCAAACGAGGTACATATATATATGCCTAAAATTTAACCTAAACCAAAGACAACTAGGAATCTCACCTAATTTCCTTTTTATTCCAAGAAAATCCTGCAGCATAACTAATATACTAAAATACCCTTTCCTAAATATTAATACTGAAATAAACTAATTAAATTACTGCTTAATAAAGGATTAACTGAACCAAAATCCTAACACTTTGGCTCTTTCCTTGGATCATGATAATCCTGGGTATAAATATGGAAGAACCTACTGATAGGGTTCTTCTACCATTCCTTGTCCCCATCAAAGCATCTCAACATGCCAACATTTCTCAGGCCCATAAAAACTATCTATAAATAAGTGCCAATAACTTAAAGCAGAATAGGCACTAAAAAAGTCCACTTCGAACTATCAACATGTACATTTCCTTTCATGTGCTGCAATTAGCATAATCTGAATAAGAAAACAGCTGCAATTTATTTATAGCGTCTTTCAAGCAAACATGCAATGCCAAAGAAAAAGGGATCAGAAAACAGCAAAATCGTGAAGGATATAGGGAAATCATTTCATAAAAAGAGCCGCATCTATGAAATAACTTTAAAGCAAAGGCCCAAACTACAAACATCACTTGAAAGAAAAAAACAAAAGGAATCATAAATGAAGGGAACTACAAACTCCTTTAGACACAATGATTGCATCACAATTAATACCTGATCAGACCAGCACAGATCCCTAAATATCTCAATTGAGTGAGCCACGACACCTGAAAAAATATAAGAGTTATCTACAAAGTCAATAAAATAACTTCAAAGGCAAATAAGTATAACCAAAATTACGCTGCAACCAAAAGGCAATAGCCATAATACAAGCCTCAACTACTAATTGGTGGAGCAGAAATGTTGCACGAGAAGAGAAGGCTTTCCACACAGCCAAAGAATACAAAGAACCAATATCAAAAGCTAAGTATGATCATGATATTCTTTAATCCCACCGTAATACCTATTCAACTTTTCCCCTTACGAAACCATTTCAAATGTTGCCATTTTTGTGGAGTGATGATTCCAATGGCAGTCAATAGTTGCAACAGAAAAAGCCTTGAGCTAAAATAAGAACTTAAATGCAATATAACAACAGGTATCAAAACGCAACCAGCCAAAACGTATATTGATATCAATACCACAGGATATGGCGGATTGAACAGTAGCAAGAACGCCAAAGCCTCAAACCAAGATAAGAGTTAATAACATACAAAACGAGACACTCAATTATTGTGGGGCAGGATAATGTGAAATCAAAAGCACACGAAATGATGTATTCCAATTCATACCGATTCTAGAATAACCACTTAAATAGAGAGCGGAATAAAAAATCATGCAGACTTTCCGAGATACATAAAACATTTCTTTTCTGAATGTATTTTCCAAATCTGAAATGCATCAATCATGATCCTCAATTACCTCTTTGAACCACAGTTGCAAGGTATCTTCTTTTCCTCCAAAGGGAATTTGTAGTTGTAGGTAATTTCTTCACCAGCAGAAATATGACGTTTCGCATAGATAAAAATCTTTTTCTCGCCTTCAACTGTGATGACCTTTGTATAGCAATTGGGCTACAAGACAATATAATGTGACGAAAGATGTCAGCATAAGGTTCATCATGTCATGCTAAAGAATCATAATTCTTATAACAGTTACCTCGCATGAATGGTTTATAAACCTAGCAATCCCACCACGTTTTGTGGCATCAACCTGTAAATTTATGAAACAAAGAACCTTTTAGCATCACAGGAGTAAAGCAAACTGAAAGATAGTCGCTCATGCATCGAAAACACAATAAAGAATGACATAAATATTAGTCTAGATCCTAGTTTACAATACAAGTAACTCAATTAAGCAACTGTATCTGTTATCACAGAGAAACCCAAGGATTATAACACAACAAATATTGGTATAGATCCTAGTTTACAATACAAGTAACTCAATTAAGCAACTGCATCTGTTATCACAGAGAAACTCAAGGATAACACAACAAAGCGCAATTCACATAACTTAATTAAGCAACTGTATCTGTTGCTACAGGTGACCCCAAGGATAACACAACAAAGCACAATTTACATAAAAATGTAGGGTGACAACTAATACTTTACATTTTGGGTAAACTTGACATATTACCTTCAGTGGAGCATAGAGCAAGACAAAACATGATATCATTCTCTGTAAAATAAGGACGAGCAAGAGAAATTCTGAAAAGGAAGGAAGCAATCAATCATGGAGCACAAAAGGCTAAACAAATTGAATCTGAAGCTCATAAAACTTTGCATGGTGCAAAAGAAGTTTTCTATGATTCACCATTCCAAATTGATAGTGAGGCTCATTTATATATTTAATTCAGCAACAAAGGAAGAATAGAGGGGGCTTATCTATGAAGACAACCTAGTTTCTGGCTTCAGCCAGGACCATACAAGTGACAGTAAGTTCTCTGTAAAAGGAAATTCAATCATAAAGCATATCACCCACCACATAACCATCATCCAACCGAAAAAGATAGCTGCTCCCAATTCCGATCTTTTCGTAGTGCCGCTCACGAATGTCAGATATCTAATAAATCATAACATCAGAAGAAAATATCAGTAAATCAAAAAAAAAAAAGAAGAAGAAGAAGAAGAAGCAGAAAGGAGTAAGTACAAATTCAACGGAAGCTACAACCAATCAACAAAAGAAAAAAGATCGACAATTAGAAAATAAAAAATAAAACTAAAAAGAATCTGTTGTTATAGAGAATGGATGGAAAAGATATCCACGTTCAGTGTTTGTGATTCATGATAACTTAAAATTTACCCAAAAAAAGAAACAATAGAATGGTTGGTATTTACTTTTTAAGGGGAGAAAAGGTCGACAAAAGAGAATAAAAATCTTAAAAAACCTATTTAATACATAAATCCAATTTGAGCAAAAAAGAAAGAAAACACTAGACACCATGATCGTTTGCTGCAAAAGTCAAAGAGAAACAATTTTATTGTATGTACATCGCAAAAGCTTAAGCATAACACGTGGCTCAAAATGGCACACACTTACGCTAGGACGAATTAATTCTCCAACATATTCAATGACGAGATCCTCGGCCTCAATTGGTTCCAATGCAATAAGACCCCAATCATGTATCTTGCTCCGTTGGAAGCGTAAACGTTTTTTCCTTGCCTGGAAATGTAGCAGTATCAGTGTGATAGCTCTGGAAACCAAAAACTCATACATATACATAACTTGTATTACCTTCAACTGAGAAGCTTTCAGAAGATCAGTACCCTCCGCAGCAACAAGGAGGTTACGCAACTTAACCCTGTTTGTTCTAGCAGAAAGTCCTTTAACACTCGACAACTGAGTTACATTGGCATCCAGACTGTTACTTTGAGCGTGACTACAATTAGTACCTCGGGCGCGGGCCCTATCAGCAGGATTTGCACTAAGTGACCATTTACGCCATTCCCAGCCACTGATTGAGCTTCGAGCACAGCCTTCAGATTGGGGCCAAGTTTTCGAACTTCTTGATTTATTGGCTACTTTTTTCTTTCGGATGCCAACACACCCAGGAGCAGATTGCTTAGTAGTACCTTTCTCAATTTTGAGAACCTTTTGGGTTTCTGGTCGTTCAATATCATCCACCGTGTCCTTTACTTTGGCAGTAGCCTTTTCTAGTTTCGAAACCTTTAGAGATTGTGGTTGCACGATCTCATCCACCGAAGCCTTTCTTTTCGGTTTTAAGACATTAGTTGCTGTATCTGGGTTAGAGGAGGAAAAAATAAACAATTAAATGTTTAAGAAATGGGGAAGGAGAAAAACAAATATGCTCTACGTACACACATATCTCCAATCAAGGAACGATTATCGTCAGCAAATCACAATGGAAGGAATTAAATAACACTAACAATTAGGAGATTGCACTTGTGTGTTTGACAATTTCCTACTCCGGCAGCGAGTAATTTTCTCCACGCTTTTAAAATCATCGAGTAAAGAAGTCTTCTTTGCAGCGATTCTTGGAATATCTACCACTTCTGCATTTAATGGAAACAGGCATATAAAGTCACATTCTGAACAAGTGAACCTCACCTCCCTGCTCCCCCCCCCCCGCGGGGGGCAAAAAAATAGGAGAAAGTATACTTGGTACCTTTAACCTGTCGAGGCTCATTTCCCAACTGTTTACGAGGTCTATTTGAAGGATTACATGCATCACTTTGGAAATCTTGAGCCTCAATAGTTTCACAACTAGTAACCGTGTTTCCTTTCTCCGTGGCCGTTGGAACCTCCGCAGAAACTTCATCTTTCTTTAACTTCTTAGCCAATTTCTTCTTCTGTTTCTTCTTGCTGGTGCTTGGAACATTTAACATTTCTGTATTATGAAGCAACAGCAATGTTCAGTAACATTCCAAGAAAAGCATTACTGTCAAATCAACCAACCGCGCAACAACAGGTAAAATGACATGTACCTTGAACCTCTCGAAGCTCCTTTTTCAACTCTTTGCCCTGCATGTCAACGTCCTCCGTACTAGATGCATCACTTTGGCTAATTTGTGCCTCTATTGTATTTTCCTTTCTGTCAATAGTTGGAAATTGAGCAGAAATTTCATGCTTCTTTAACTTATTGACCAAATGCTTCTTCTGCTTTTTCTTGCTGGTGCTTGGAACATCAATGATTTCTGCAATACTTGAAACCTCTCGAAAAGTTTCTTGTTTCTTTAATTTCATGACCAACTGCTTCCTCTGCTTCTTCCCACTGATGCTTGAGACATCCACCATTTCTACAGTGCATAGCAAAAGACAATATAATTCACATTCTGAAACACATCCCTCCCCACTCCCCCAAAAACAATGCTCAATCTCAAACAACAGAAAGAAGTGGCACACGACATACCTTTAATCCTTTGAGGATCCTTGTCCAATTCTTTATCAGGCAAACTTGCAGCACCACACACGTCAATCTGGCAATTTTGAACCCCACGTGTTTTCAAACGCGTAATTGTGTTTCCCTTTCTGGCAATAGCTGGAACCTCTTCAGAAATATCATCATTTTTCTTTTTCTTCTTGATCATTTGCCGGGGCACTTCAACCTTTTCTGCAGTTGAAGAAAGAGAAAGCGATCCTGAGTTTCTCTCACCCAACTTTCTCTTCCGGTAATACATCTGCTTTCCAGTTAAGTCAGATACAGTAGAAGATCCCTTCCACAGTTCACTGACTCTAAGAAAGTTATTCCCATCAACTCCTGTACTTCCCAAGTCCTAGAAAAAAAAAAACGAGCTTCAGGGATGTGTTATGAACAGATTTTTCGAAAGGCATATGCAAGTCTTAGCTATAATACAATGCTAGCCCTAGCTATGAAGCAGATGAGGAAACCCTTAAAATAAAAGACACAATACAATTTTTTACCTCAAAATACTTTAATTTAGGAAATTTCTTGAAGGCTTTCATTGAGGCTCCTGATATAGCTTCGTCGACAAACAATGTTTTCAACTCTCTGACCACAACCTCATGTACCTTTAGCCGAAATATCCTCAATGCAGCATTTAGGGTTACCCTAGGGATACCTTCATCTGACCTAGAGGGCTTCACTCTACGTATTTGGGACGAAAAGCAAGCATTGCCATTTCCATTACCCTCAAATTTACTAGGCTGGAGTTTATCAATGACTACATCACTACAGATATTTCTCAAAGGCACCGACAAACTACTAAATACACTAGACAAAATATCAGTTGCAGAAGCTCGAGTTTCGTGATGAAAGGCCTCTTCCGATTGGCATGGGATCTCAACGCCATTGCATGGTGGTGCTTCTGGAACAGCAGCAGTTCGAAATGAATCGTGTTCACTCAGACAAGAAGCAAGTTCAGCTACCTGCTACAGAAATTAAACCTTTTAAACAGCTGAAGGCAACTTGAAAAAGAATGAGTAAATGAAGGAAAGAATATCGACTCCAGAAGACAGGGTTTCTTTTTACATATCATATTGTGTTTCTCTGAGATATGTAGAAAAGCAGTATGGAGAGAAAAATCATAAAAACACTGAGAAAACAGTTTGTCACCTCATTTACATCCACATCTCTTGGAATATCAGTAACTTTCCTCACTTCTTCCTCCAAAAGAGTTTCAAAATATGGACTCAATGAAATCTTTGCAGATGAATGTAGATCAGCCAGAAACATTTCAATGATGTCATCAGAAACATTTGAATCCGGTACCGCTGTTGCCACCATTTCAAATCCAGGGGGAAACTCAGTTTCATCAGCGGGCAACTCTTGTTCCACTTGCAGCTGTATCACAGCATTGCAGTTCAGACACAATTTAAAATAAAAGCAACACAAATTACCCAGAAAGAAAATCACACAACTCACATCTTCAGCTGGAAACCTTGCAAGTGTTTCAGGATACTGCTTAGGGAAACTGCCCGGTAACGTAGAAATTGTAGGAGTGTACCAACGTTTGCGCTTTCTCCAACTGGATGTATATTCTGCTACGGTATCTAGAAACACCACATTCCAAATGCCATCCATGCAAGAATTCATTAAACTCCTGCAAAGCACGTCACATGCAAGCCGAAAATTCTCAACACTGCCAACAGATTTCAAGCAAGCTCTGGACTGAACATCTGCCTCACTTCCAGTAATTGTACAGGTCTTCCTCCCTTTAATATCCTTGTACTGAACATGGATGGAACATGATATGACAAAGTCCTTAAGAAAGAAAGGACAGGAATCCTATTATACTGTAAAAGAATATCATTCTTACATCTGACAAGGAATTTTCAACTGAGGATTCGGCTCTTTCTGGTTTAGCGTGCTTGTGGGCTTTCTTTGTTGCAATGAACTCTCCAATTGTGTGGCCAACAATTTCATCAAGTATAAGACGGCGAGCAGATTTCATGATGCCTGAGTGAAGCTGGAGGGAAAGTTCATCAGATACTTCAGACAAAAAGTCTCTGGACAGCGCTGTACTTGGTACACCTATAGCTTTAGGCAAACTTTGTGAAGCCATTCCCCAGGAATTCAATAAAGAATTCAAAGTGAATGGCTCGTATCTGTTGTGCACGTGATAGACCTGCATAAATTCAGAAAATTAAACGATGAAAACTACATAACACTTCAACACAACAGAGTAAAGGTGGATTAAACTGTAAATTGTGCATAAAGACCACAGACAGATTTTACCACAACAAATCTTAAACAAAATGGCCCCTAACCAAGAACTCGATACACAAGTCAGAGCTTACCTTCAATGAATTTTGAAGGTATCCATAATGACACCAGGAGTAAAGTTCCATTAGTGAATGTGGGCCATGTTTCGTCCCTTCAGCATCCTCAAAAAACCAACAAGGTTCATCTGTCTGACGGTTCAAGCCAGCGATGACCAGAAAAGCATAGCAAGTTAGCCATCTTGCCAACAAGTAATGTAATAAATAATCTGCCAGAATGTAACTACACTTGAAGAAGAATCCTACATAATTATACTATTTAGGTAGATATTTACCGATGGCATAGATTGAGCAGTGGAGTTGCAAACTTCACCAGAGGAAGAAAATCTATGGTTTGAAGCTGAAGAGTTTATTAAATCAGCAGTATTTTCTTGTTTCTTTGCAGGCAATTCGGCTACTGGATGGTTGCTAGCAGCACTAGAAACAGATGTGGCTAAATAAGTGAATCCTGTGGCGACGTGGTCAGGGAATTGCTTAAAATACTTTAAGGGCACAGAGTTGGCAAGAAATCCATTCAGGATTGGATATACAAGAAGCTCCTCGGGCAAGAAACCAGTAGCTAGGCCCTCATACAATTGCTCCTGAATATAAGGGCCACACATTTGACCACTTTGATTGACATACATCCATCCAGTAACATATGAAGGAGGCACAGTACTAGCAGCAGTATAGCTTTTATGATGTGAAGGGGTGCCCCCAGAAACAACATTAAGGGACTGGGACATTTCACCACTATTGTCATTGCCATTTGACTGACAGCTCGTTAACTTCATTCCTGAATGATAAGAACCAACTTGCTCATCACAGTCACAGCAAGATGACAACGAGACCTGGACATCCTCCCCGCAACTAGGGAAAGAAAACCAAAAAAAAAAAAATGTCATGAAACCCATTGAAAAGGAAAATGAAAAAACATAAGAAAACCGTGTAAGAGCAAGTGGATTTTATGGTTACCCAAGCCTCAATTCTGCTGAGGTGTCCAAATAGCTTAGCCGGTTATCTGCGGAGCAACCTAACTTCATCCTCTTTCTAGAAAAGGATAAAATCTCACTCTCTCGTCCGTGGCCGGCATGGTTGTTTGCCTCAATGTGACAGTGGGAAGCAACGGAAGAAACCATGAGTTCCTCTTAGACTTATCCAGCTCTGTCCAAAAGAAAATTAAAAATGTTATAGTCTCCTGAAAAATTTGAGCAATTCAATCACGGAGACTGTTCAACACAATGAAAATGCAATTATTCACTGATTACTCCTCACATTTTTGTTAACTGAATCCGAGTTCTAATTTAACACTAAACAATTACCTGAATCAAAATTTCTGAAATTAAACATTATAAATTAGGGAATGAAAGATTACTACACCGGCAAAGTTCCGAAAACCTTAATTACAAATTTAACAACCTAAAAGACATATCAAAGACCAAAACAATCAAAACATAATTGGAAGAAGGATGGAAAATTACCGTTCCGAGAATCACGATGACTCCAAATTAGCTAAATTATCAACAAAAAAACAGCACGCGAGTTACACGTTGGTGCAGCGAGAACAATTCGTGAAGACGAGAGAGCCGATCGGAATGGAGATCGGTGGTTCATCTCCGTATATCGCCCGCTTGCAGAACCCGGCTAAGGAGAGCTTGTCTTATTTTCTCTCCTTGTTTTGTGCGGAAAACTCAAATACAACTTGAAAATCCAATAAAATTAGAGAAACCAATAATTGCAAGTTTGACCCTGATATTTCGTTTATTGTCATAAAGAGTCGATCCTTTTTTTATTTAGTTTTTTTTTTCCCCTTTTACAAACTACTACTCCGAATTTTTTCCTTAAATATATGTAAAAAAAAAAAACCTAGACAAAAAAAAAGCTTTTTAAAACCTTGTGGACAAATTTATATGCCCCGGATTTAGGAAATCCGAATGGGGGGAAAACTCTGATTTCGAAATCCGACCCAACTAAACTCGGATTATTAAAATCCGACTTTGTATTACGTAAATCGAAATTAAGTTAATGACAAAAATTAGTGTAATTAATCTAAATCCGGATTTTATAAATCCGATTTTATGAATAAAATATTAATTTAGGATACTATAAAAAAATGTGTTGAAAAATTAAATTCGGGCGTAACTCGGATTACGAAATCCGAATCACTCTGTTTTCGAAAAATGGTGACTCCCGGTTGGCCACGGACTTGGATTTCAAATCCGAATCCTTTAGAAAAGTCCGGGTTCGGATTTCGCAAATCCAGTCTTTGTCGAACGAAAAAAATTGGGTGATTTTCACCAGTCCTAAACATGTTTACAAGACCAACAACAATGAAACATTGGAAAATAGGAATTTAATAACAACAAAACAATAAACGGCATTCGATTAACAACAAAATAAATCAAGTTTCATAAAAGTTCAATACAAAAACTACAATAAATGTCCAAAATAATGAAATGTCTCATTTTTCCCTTTTCCTTTATTGTGCGCATCCGAAGTGTATTTGTTTGGGCCCATCGGATCCTGTCTCCCCTCTTAAGATATGTGAGTATTGAACTTTGGTGTGGTTGCGATTGTCCACCAAACCGAGCCTCGATTTGGGGTTGAGATTGGGACTCCCATGGTGATAAATTTGACTCCGGTTGTGGTTGCATCGTCCACCAAACCGAGTCTCGGGTCCACCAATGTCAAACTGAGTCTCGGGTCCACCAATGTCAAACTGAGTCTCGGGTCCACCAGCTTCTTCAAAATGAGTCTCGACCTGGATGCGCGAGCCTCGAGAGGAATGTGCTTGATCCTCATTTTGTTGACCCTCAGTTTGTTGTTGCGATGTCCGAGGGGGGATTGTGACCTTTCTCTTTCTTCCTCCTCCAATCTTATCTCTTGACCACGGTTTCGCTTTTTTATCCGGCGGAGGTTGTGAGGGAAAAATGGATCTTCATCAACCAGGATTTGGGTATCATCCACCTCCATCTCATCATTTGCGCCAAGGTTAAAGCGGCATGTGTTTGATTGATGATATCGTCCAAATGCTTGTCAAGTTCTTCGTCTAGGAGATTATCATCTTCTCGTTTTTCTCTAAACCTCTCGGTACTCACGCGAATGTTGTTCAATACTTCACCCTGAAAAGAAATTGGGACGTTAATTAAGAGAGTAAAGTTCTAAAAAAATGAAAAAAATGGAAACATAAGAAATAATAAAAGAAATCTACAATTAACTCACATATAATTTCACACGGCTCGAAGAAGTCTCGTATCCTTGAGGTTCATAATTACCGGATTGGATATCAATCGACAGTGTTCACCATAAACCATTCATAGTACCCTCATATACGGAACCAGGATCTCCTTCCTCCAAATCTCGTAGCACGAACTCTTCTCTCCTATTCCAATGACGGCGTCTTGCGAATGGTGATCCTCCCAATTATTGCTAGGATACCCGGACATACCGTGGGCGTGATCGAGAAGAAATGCTGCGTTATCTTTAATCATGGGGCGCTTGGGAACATCCCGTATGTATCCAAATTGTCTTACGACTCGCCCGACTCGTGGGGTTCCCTAATAGCCCAACAGAACATCCAACACCTAGTCGTCCAAATGGCTTGGCCTTGTGTACGTAAATCGGGAGTCTATGGAGGACATGTGCATATGGTTGCCACCGAAACCGCACGAAAAAATTTCATTAGATGGTACAACCGAAACCAAAAGAAAGGGGTAATTGATCTCAAAGTAAATATAAATACCAAATTACAAGTACTTACATCTTTAACACGCAGACTTGTTAATTGATCTCTAAACGGTGGAGTGCCGCTCCTTGGGGCGTCGCCGTACGTGTACCTACATTCCCACCTTAATAAACAAAGGGTACATTTGAATTAGTGAAATAAATGAATAAGAAACAAATAGAATTAAACGTTGAGTTATTTTGAACTGAAAATACGTACCGGCGAGCTAATGGAGCGGTCTCATCAAGCAAATAATCTACTCCTTTTCTTTGGGGCGCGATCCTCTCGATCCGCTCATACGCCCATACCTAGTAAATTGCAATAATAATGTAGAAACTTCAAATTATAACGTCGAAAGCGCAAAATAATTAAAGCACAATATGAAAACTAATACGTACTGTAGCAAATATAGACACCCGGTGGCATCGTGCATGGTATCTTGTGATGCCTCGCATAGGCCAGAGTACAACCCAGCCAGCAGTGCCGATCCCCAACTGTATCGACTACACTGATCCAAATCCTCAACCTGGGCCAAGAACTGTAGATTGACAGTGTTCTGCGTCTTGTTCGGAAACATGAAACTGCTAATAAAATGCGGTATAAGTGTCCTGCCCTTTGCTCGAATCGATGGACAGTGGAATTTGAAGGTAGTGCACGGCCCATCTCATCTTCGAAAATACCAACATTGACACATTGGCCATTTACAATCGCCGGCCGGAATCCCAAATAAGCCTCACATCGATCCCTCCATTCATCTGCAGTCCGGCTAACTGTCGTGCCGTACACCGAGTCACCATCCACCCGAATACCAAACAGACCTCGACGTCCCAGTAGCGTCACCGTCGCCTCTCGAAATTAAAATGGAAAGTGTGGGTTTCTGGCCTCCACCGTTCCACCAACGCGGTAATGAGGCCTAGATCAACTCTTTTGTACCCTACCTTCATGATCCCCTCAAAACCGGCTCTCCTAATGACTTCATTAACCTCCGGTGCCGTATTTTTATATAACGCCCAAAAATCGCTGTCGTACCTACGGCCCTTGAGGCGGAATGTCTTAATGTCCGGTATTTTGTTCTCATAGACAGCTTGGGACCTATGCTTTGTTTGACGATATAGCATTTTATCTTGTATAGGTCCCGGGTGAAGATGTTTAGGTTGATAGTCATATTAGGAGCCCGATGCCGTCGTCGCCATTTCAATCCTACACAAGGTAACCAAAAAAAAACAAATCAACCAAACCATAAACATTCGGCCAAATAAACAAGACTACCAAACCATATACATTTGGCCAAATAACAAAACTACCAAACGATGTACACTCGGCCAAAAAAAAACAAATCAACCAAACTTCAAATTATTCGGCCAAATAAACAAGACTACCAAACTATATACATTCGGCCAAATAACAAATCAACCAAACGATTTACACTCGGCCAAAAAAACAAATCAACCAAACCATAAACAAACAAATAAACAATACTACCAAACTACTATATACATTTCACTATTTACACAACGATAATCCAACACAAACACTATATCAACACCACATCTATAAGCAACTCACAATAGACACAATTTAAATTCAACACAAACACTATATCAACACAAACCAACCACAATTCAAAAAAAAAAAAGGACTCGGATTTCACAAAGAAAAAAAAAATTTTGACAAAAAAAAATTAAAGAGAGGATCGCGAATTTCAAACTTACAGTGAGGAATGGAGGAAGTCGGGAGGAGTGGAGGAAGTCGCCGGAGGTGGAGAGTCTCGGAGGAGTCGCCGGATTGCAAGGAGTCGCCGGATTATCCGGAGGGAGGAGAGACGCCGGATTGTCCAGAGGAGGAGAGACGCCGGATATGGAGTCGCCGGAGAGTGGTGGGAATCGCCGGAAATCACGGAGGAGTGGAGGAGTCGCCGGATTGAGTGGTGGGAGTAGCCGGATTTTTGTTTAATTGGAGTTTAGTTTTGGGTTTTTCAATTCTGGAATTGGGGAAAAATGGGAAGGGAAGAGTTGACGGAACAATATAGAGTCCCGTCAAACTCGGATTTGCTAAATCCGAGTCTTCCTATTTCCTCAAATTTCAACTCTCGGATGGTTTCACAAACACGGATTTCAAATCCGAGTCCTTTGCAAATTAAAAATAAACTCGAGTTCGGATTAGCGAAATCCGAGTTAGTACTGCTTTCTTCTCAAATTTCAACTCTCGGATGCTTTTCACAAACACGGATTTCCTAAATCCGAGTGCTTAGTAAATTCGAGAAAGTCTCGAGCTCGGATTTACAAAATCCGAATTTCCCCTGTTTCTCCTCAAATTGCAACTCTCGGATGCTTTTCACAAACACGGATTTCCTAAATCCGAGTTCTTAGTAAATTCGAGAAAATCTCTGAGCTCGGATTTAGGAAATCCGAATCTCTCCTGTTTCTCCTTAAATTGCAACTCTCGGATGCTTTTCACCCATTCGGATTTCGAAAATCCGAGTCCTTTGCAATTTCAAAAAAAAACTCTGAGCTCGGATTTCTGAAATCCGAATGCTTCACAAAACCTTACAATGATGAGTATTTTGCACAATCCGATTTTGATTATGAAAAATAGTACATATTTCATCACACTTTACAATCCGAAAAATTCAATGTTCACATTACAATCCGAATTTATCAATGTTCACATAAATTTATCAAACACTAAATAACTTGCAAGAACAAGAAATTACACTCAATTCCAAATTGTCATTCACGTGTCTTCTATCTACTCACAGGTGCGAGAACGGACATGAATTGTCATCATGACCTAGTTGTCCACATCTCCAACATTCCTCCCGGCTCCGGCGTCCCCTGTAATCCATTTGCATTCTATGTCTCCTTTTTTGTCTTCGTCCCGGTCCCGCATGCAACACAAGACACTCATAATTCGGAATGATGTTCTAATTGACCATCGGCCATTGTTCCTCATCGGGAACCGGAACAAAGCCCGTGTAATGAAATTGTCTGCGCCACGTTGGAAGGCGCCACACACTATGGTATAGATCAATAGGCCGATCCCCTTTTCTCCGACAAACTTGGAGTGCGTGCGTACAAGGCATCCGGTACTCTTGCCACTTCCTGCACGAACACCTATGTTCATCGTAGTTCACCGTATGCGAGACCCACCCCGCCACTTAGGCGTGTGGCGGTAACAACACGCCACATAGCATCATCACCATCGAAAGGGGTGGCTTCAAAGCGGCTGCTTTATCATTCATTTTCTCGTATTTTTCCATAACTCGGGAGGGATCGGTGTCATGCAATTTCTCGCACAATTGTTCTTCTCTATAGAATTTAACAGTTTGCGAAAGGTTGCATCGATCAAGGCTCTAATTGGTAAAAACGGATCCCTTTCAACGCATTGTTGTAACTCTCGAAATGTTGGTTGTCGCTATGCCCCAACGGCGAAGACCGGCTTTCAATCGAGCCCGATTACTCCCCCAATCCTCGAAGATACTCCCATGCAGCAGGTTTGAATTCAGTAAGCTCGCCTCATACGGTTGTATTTCACTCTTGAAAGCGTCGTGCCCATCTTCCAACATAACCGCTTCACCTTTTTACTATTATATCGCGACACAAGATTGCTGCGAACGTGGCGGAGGCAAAGAAAGTGCCCACCATCACCTAAATCACGCCATTCATCCATCCGTGACATTGCGCTCAACAACCCCGCATTCGGTCGGATATCACACTTACGATTCTATCATACACAACCCACAACCTCAAATTCCTCATAAAAAATGTCCAACTCTCTACTGTCTCCTCATCAACAATCGCAGATGCAACCGGTAAAATGTGCTTGTTTGCGGTATACACCACCGCAACAAGCAATTTACCCTGTATCCACCACGCAAAAGGTTCCATCGATACAAATGACCGGTGGACATTCAAAAACGTCTCACCACCGGTGCAAATGACCGAAGACGTATTTAAATGTCCGGTTTCCCTGTTCCAACCTTCTTGTCCCTCCTTCCATTCCCACTCTACTACGAGTCTCAAGATTAGTAAACTTAAGCGCAATGATATACCTAAACAACAACAAGTCATTGTTAAAATATTTCAATACATGTAAAAATAAAAATACTATAAATATTTCAATACACGGATAAAAGTTGATATTTACCGTGGAAGTTCTTCGAAATTGGAGGTCCAATCACCATAGACCGCTTCTATGGCTTTCCTCCTCCCGTGCCACGCCCTTTTGTATGGCACATCTACTTTCAATAATGTCTTCACATCTTTCTGTGCCGAGGCTACCGTATAATCTACGTTGTCCTCAACCTTTCTCTTGATGAGTCTAGCAATCAAAGACGCGTCCACACACCGATTGTCATTATCATTCACAGGAGTCATGCAATTATGTGCATCATGCCATCTCACAATTTCATGAAGGCCGTGAGCTTTCAATGACACACGCATCTTCCACTCACATGGTGGTTCACCATCCTCACTTTCCACATTAAATGTTCTGCACCGCACAGCCCACGTCCTTGGACTACTCGCGGCGACCGTATATTCCCTTTTATGATGGATATTCCATAATTTCACAGCATGCTTTGCTTCTGATTGAGATTTGAAACAAACACCAATGTCCATTCCTTCGGGCGTCTCATCCCACATCTTAAGAGCAAACTCATCCTTGTCTACACATGAGGCATCCTAGTTCCCCATCTTACTATATACATGGCGTCGGGCGAATAGATTACAATCCCTTTCCTCATTTTCCAACCTTTCATCATCACTTTCTTCAAAATCACTCTCTCCGGAGACATCACAGTCTTCTTCACTTTCACTTGGAGCTATGTAGTCGGAATCCAACTCTTCCCGGTAGTCATTTTGTGCAAATAAAGGTGTCTCCTCTTCATCACGGTTTCGAGAAGTACTAGCACGTTCCCCCCTTCGAAAATCACCAAATGACACGTTTTCCAAACTCGTTTCTCTTTCTTCTTGAGTGATATCTTCCAAATCTATGTATAAATCCAAACATGACATTGGATCTACACGGTTCATGAACTCTACATGCGAATCATTCTTGATCTTCACTATACGCCTACCACCGGGACTATCGAAAATCAAAGAAAGGTGGAGTTTCATGTGTGCTGGATCCCAACCAAGGGTCATACAAATCTTACTAATCAATCCCTCATATGACAACCTTTTTCGACAAACAAACCATCATCCGGCATATTCGAAAAGTGTTGATGCTACCGTTCTCTATCACATACTTACTTGTATGATACAAATTAAGCATGTATGATACATTACGTGCCATTGATAACTGTTAAAAAAAGCATCAATAACTAATCATTTCTTAATAACAAAATCAACAAAATACACCATACATTCTCTAAAATACACCATACACCATACACCATAATACTCCAACAAATACACCATACTAAAATACTTATAAATCAACTTCGATATCTCATGAACAACTATGATTTCTCATCTCTAACCTCAAAATCAACACCTAAAACATCCAAACAACCAACCAACATAAACCCTAATCTATCATACATCATTCTAACAATCAAAATAACACAAAAATAAACTAAATAACATGGTTTTGCAATCTAACCTCTTTCAAATAACGATTTCCACGTATCTAGAGGCAAGAATGCATCAAAAACTTCAATTCGCCCTTGTTTGAGCTGCAAAAACAGAAAATCCAACTCGGTTCTCGAATGAGAACTGCACTGAAATTTTTTTCTTTTATAGCACGTTAAACTCGGATTTACGAAATCCGAGTTTGTAAGTAACTTCAGTTTTCAAATCCGAACGTGTTAGATTCGGATTTCATAAATCCGAGTTTAGTCAATTCAGGATTATTTTATTAATTTGTTGGTCCTCCAATTTAAGGCACATGCCTATTTCCACCAACCAAAATTAAAGGCATCCGGATTTCTAAAATCCGAATTCGTCAAACTGGATTACGGACTTCCGGTTTTTTGGATTCAAAAATTTCGCGCCGCGATTTATTAATTTTTAACTAAACTCGGATTCTACAAATCCGAGCTTTACTGTTCATTAAAGAACTAAAAAAACTATTATTCAACAAAATTTATGAAATTATTATTTTATTATTAAGTATGGATCCGGATTTACAAAATCCGAATCTCTAATATTAATCAAAACTCGGATTTCAGAAATCCGAGCAATATATTTCTGTCCACAGATATTCTGAAAAATTTAAATTTGTCCACGTTTATTTTATTTAATTTTTTTTGGGAAAAGATTCCTACTACTCCCTCCATCCATGATTATTGTCTAGGTTGGGTTTTCATTTCTAATTCAAATTATACTAAAAGTAAAATTTCAAACTGGACAATAATTTTGGGACAGAGGGAATGCTTGTCCTCTAAGGTAATTCTGGTACTTAAAATAGAAAAATGATTGGGTACAGCTGTTGTATCCTGATTTTTAGTGCAAGTACTAGCACTCCTTATTTTAGTGATATAACTCCCGTAGAAATTATCTCTCTCCCCCCCTCCCAAATTATTACTTTACCTCTATTGTTGTGTTTGACTACAAAATCCTACGTGGTACAGTAGCTACACTGAATAATTTCCTCTTAAAATATGGAAAATAGTACTCCTCCATCCCAGCAAAAATAGTTTACAATAGTACTCCTCCATCCCAGCAAAAATAGTTTACATCAAATTTTAAGATTTATATTTTTTTTTTTAGTAAAAAATGCAAAAGTTTAATATAGACTCTTTTTCAAGATAGATGGGGTATGAATTGATGTTTATGTTATTGAGTTATCAAAGAACAATTGTTCATTTATGGTACAATACTTCAATTTAGAGGGTAGAATTATGAAAGAGTATTTAGCATTGGATTATTGCAAGACCTTAGACCAAGTCACCAAGGCAAAGCAAAAGCCAGGTGTGACTGAAATGATAATTAGTAGCAAAAGGTTGGGACATGGGAGTGTGACGATCTGATAATATTTGGATTTTGAGATGCAACAAGAAGAGACCTTAGATCCTTTCAGATAAGTGCACAAAATGTATGTGAAATGTTGAGCGAACTTTCAGTGCTCGTTCCGGTTCATGAGACAACTTGTAGTAAACCATAAGCTATTGTATGAGGGCGTAGCTATCCCAACTCATTCATATTGTTTTCCAGCTGATCCGCTATTTTCCAGCTTTTTCTATGAGTTATTAACCATAATACAAACAATCCTCCACCAATCAAATCCAAAAAAAAAAAAAAAAATGAAATGAAAAAGAGAATGAACAGAAGAAGGTACACTATTCATCAAAGTAGTGGTTTGCTACTCAATTTACAATTTCTGTGGAGAAAATCAGAAAACTCAAAGAATGGACATACAACCTTTCTCGAAACAAAAGAGAAGGAATACAAACCATCAAGACGGGGTGGGGTTTCAGGTTTTGTGGCAAAATTTTGCATTTTGTCAAACAAAAGAATGAATCTTTGTACTTGAACAAAAAAAAGAAAGAACAGAAAAGAAATGAGCCAGTGCAAAACTCCATTTATCCAAGTTTCAAAAGAAGTGAACTAACTCAGTCATCAACAGATGTTGTCACTAATCCTGCCAGTTGCTTCACACCAAGCTTTGAAACCAATTCCAGTGGGACAAACTGGCCTGTCTGATTCGAGAGGTCTTCGTCCTCATAACCATAAAGCAGCTTAAGTCTGCTTGCTTCGGCGGCCGCAGCATCAGCTTCTGCACTTAGGGCATCTGCTTCTTCAACGTCTCCTAACTCTAATGCGGCTGATCTCTCTGCTTTGGCAGCTTCAGCTACAAGAATTAGCCTATGGAATCTAGCCATTTCCAACTCTTTTGTTTTTGACAACACCTGCGCTTCAGTTTCCTCAAGTTTATTAACAATATTGCCAATTTGTTCTTCCAGCTTTTGGAGCTGCAATATTGCATCCTCTGTTTTTATGCCCAATCCTTCCTTTTCTGTGAGGAGCGCTTTTGCTTCCGTAGCTATTCGGGCCGCTTCTTTAAAATTTCTTGCAGTAGCAGCAACTTTCTTCTCAGCCTCCAGCTCGGGGACCCTTTTGTCTATGAAGATTAGCCTCTGCTTAAGTGATTCAAGTTCCTTTTGGATGCTTGATTTCGATGAGGATAGCTCCTGCGAACAAAACATGCACCAGCATGATTTTGTGCACAAATCAAGTATAAACTTCATTAAAAACTCAAAATTCCAACAGAAACTTCTATTTTTTAAAGAAGTAGAAATGACTAAGGAGATGATTTCACTCAAGAAAATACACGGTGGCTGATGTAAGACACATGAAAATACCACATGACCAACTATATTCCTCAAAAAATAAAATACGGAAAAGGATCACAGCAATGATTAAACTGTTTCGCTATTTCTATGACAGCCTGTCATTGAAGCAGAAACCAACCTGGAGAGATGTCCTAGCAGCAGAAATATCCAGCCTAAGAGCACTGACATCTTCGGTAAGTTGCTGCTCAGCTTTAGAAAGACTCATTTTATTTTCCATGAACTTCAATGCAAACTGCATCAGACTCTTCCGAAGCCCCACAACTTCCCGGGACACGTTAGCTTCGTCTGCAGAGATTTTGGAGATTTCCCTGACTTTTGTAACCCTGGTTTCCTCCAAAGACAGATCATCGTCAATTTGTTTTTTCCTTTGAGATAACGTGTGGTGCTCTGAATCCAACTGACAGAGACCAGACTTAAGGATATTATACTTTTCATCTAGGCCTGAATTTGCCTCATCAAAGTTAGCGACTACACCAGCAATCCTGCTCTCGACCGTTTCAATCTTGCAATCATTTTCCACTATTTCTGCTTCTTTTAATTTAACTAAAGCATATAATTTCTGTAGTTCCTCGGCCAAAATTTCTCTTCTCTTGTAAAGAATATCTCGCTCTCTTTGATCATCTTCCGTTGAGTGTACAATTGAGTCATGTATAGCTGATCGTGCCTCATTCATCAAATGAGATTCAATTTCTAACTGTAATTTCTTTAACTCTACCTCTTCAGTACTTGAAGTCCATTTTTCCATTTCTCTTGAAAACAAAGCCTCTGCATTCTCCAGGACTAAATCAGCATTAATTGAAGCATCCTAGAAAACAAAAAGAAGATAAGGTCTTCAGTCTACAACAACATAAACAAAATGGAGGGTATGATGTGAGAATACAATGAAAACTGTCTGTAAAGATACAGTACAAACAGAATCCAAACGGAACAATGAATGCCAGTACAAGCAATGGTGCAAAAGCTATAAAAGAACTATCTTCGTGATGCACGAGGTGCTTCTTCCTAAGACGTAAACACCTTTAATACTTCAAACTCTCACCATAGAAAGTCACCGAGAATTTAAAGATATTTCACAAGATATGATAGGTTAAATGACTAGCCAAACTTCAAAACAGCTGTTTTGATCATCGATAGGACCGAAAAACATCATCACTGAGAATTTAAAGATATTTCACAAGATATGATAGGTTAAATGACTAGTCAAACTTCAAAACAGCAGTCTTGATCATCGATCATACTGACGAAAACGTCAAGCCTTGCTTCTTTATGAATGAAATTCAATCACAATCCTAACCAGTACTCAACAAACATACTTTTCGTACGCATTGAAATGGAAACATTAAAGATTAACTATGAATTGGTTGTTTAATTTAATCATGGCAGAACTAGAACTGAATAGAGTCAACTGACCTTGGAAAATTGGAGAAGCAACGAAGCGGATGCCTCCTCAACTTCAATCTGAGATTCCAGAGCCACACGCATTTGGGACTCAAGATCATCACAACGAGATTCTGCGTCTTTGAGCGCAACCAGCAGGACTTCTCTGTGTTTGTCTGCAGAAGCGAGAGTGTCACCAAGGCGCTCTGCTTTCTCAAAGTCCTCAGTTTCAATGGCGTCCTCCAATTCCTTCTCAAGTTGAATGTACTTGGAAGATGCCGCAGATAGAAGTTGTGCAGCTTTTCTCCTATTTTTAATGGCATCTTTCCGTGCCGCAGACACAGAAGATATAGCTTGCCGAGCTGCATTGAGCTTCTGGGCAATCTGTCCCTTGATTTCTTCAAATCTCATCTCTATTGTGCCTGTAGTGCTGGGTTTGGCTTCTTCATCCTGAGATTGCAATGAGGAAGCCGCTTCTGCTTCTGCTTCTGCTTCTGCGACTTCTTCTTCTTCTTCTTGGGATGGTGGTTGATGTTGATTTTGTTCTGCACCATCAATTTCATTTTCAATTGGGATGGAATCTTCTAATTTCGTATCCGGTAACTGGGTTTGATCATCGTGATCTAGATGTTGATCTGCTCTAACATCCCTGCCGTATCCAATCCTTAAACCAGCAGCTCTCTTCTTTTTTCGAGACGAAGAAGAGATTAGACGACGTGGGTGACCATGATTTCGATCTTCTTTCACTTCTTCTTCTTCTTCTTCTTCTTCAGGGAGCTTGTCCCCAATGAGATTGAGATCGGCAAATAAGTTCTCATCGAGTGGAACCGAAGCCGGAACCGGAGTAGCAGCAGAAGTAGATGAAGTTGAATCAGACGGTAACGAATTGTTCTTCTGATGATGTGGATGATGGGCTTCTTCTCCTTCTTCTAGTTGGGATGACTGACAATGATGATCTGAATTCAGCGCAGAAACAGAAGTACTTGGAATAGCATCATCGGCAGGGGTTGGAGTAGTAAAGAGAACCATACCCTCAAACAGAGAATCCATATCATCCTCATTCTCCGCCATCGATAATGAATCCATGATGATGGATGGTAATTTTCCCTCCCTTCTTTCTGGGTTTTTCAGAAAATCCCAACTGTACAGCAAAAGCTAATCGAATTCTCTTGTCCCCTTTTCAGGAATTTTAGTATTGCTGTAGTTGTTGACGGTGGCTAACGCCGGCCGTAAAGGGGCGTTACACGGCAGCGCAGACGATGACAGCAAATTATTGCAGACTTGCCTCAGTCATCAGCCCAATAAAGAAACCTCGTAAGATTTATTTGTTGGGTTGTTAAATGATCCTAGGCCCAATTCTCCCAATCTCATTTGGGTTATTCCAATCCCACCGCCTTTTGAACTCTAGCTTAAAATTCCAAGTCAAAAATTAATCATTCGCTCTCGTCGCTCTGGATGGGGTACATATTTTGGCAACTCTCCGTCACTAGTCCTAGAAAAAATTAGCACTGGATAGCCCAACTTTCCTTTACCGAATTGTTTTGTAAGCTAAGCATTACGCTTCCCCAGTAAATATATATATATATATATATATATATATATATATATATCATTAACTCTCGACCCAAAAAAAAAAAATTTACCTCAAAAATCTATCATTCACTTTCGTTCCAAAACATATTTCACTTCTGTTAAAGGAAAATACAAAAGGTGTGGAACACATATTCATATTTGATCTTGGACCACTCTGTAACTTGAAAAGCGTGTTTCCATTCAATGTTCGACTAGTCAGATTTCGAAAGGTAAGCTTGAAATTTGACCTTCCTCCGTAATCTGAAAATGAGCTAGCAAGAGCGTTTCGCAATTGACGCTGTAGTCGTCTTTTTGAAAATCTTGTCAGACTCTCTTGATTAGTAGGAACTACAGAATATTGAAGCACAATAAACCAAGATAATTCAGTGATACATATAGAATTGTTGCTCTTTTGGACCCTGCAAATTCCATTTGGTTGCCATCTTCGGACCTTTGAAGAAGGCCTAGCGGCTAGGAGGTCTACAAATAAACAGAACTTCTATAAATAGGTTAACCCAAAATCAAAGGTCATCCATGTCCATATCCTGCTGGTATAGTAGATAAATGGAACTAATTTCTAACTAAAAATTATATTTAAAAAAAAAAAAAGAAGAAGAAAAGAAGAAAAAAATCATAATCTGCTAAAAATGCTTCACACAAAATGTCATCATGGTCACCGCCTTAATACTAGGCCTTTTGGTCACCAAGTTCAAGGTCCTTGACAGGAGCATTTTCTACTCCTTCCTTCAATAATCTAAATTCCTCTTCCGTCAGGCTATGTTTTCCGCCTGACGTCACTTTCGCAGCATTTGTTTGCTGCTTCTCAACCTCTACGGCCCAGCTGTAAACCACCATTCCGACCACCGCTACCAACATTCCCATGATGTTCTTGAATGTCAACTCCGAATCGAACAACAGCCATCCCAATGTGAGGACACAGACGGTTTTCATGTGTCCTAAAACTTGGAAGGATACGGCTGAGAAGCGCCCGATACACAGGTACTGACTCACGTTGCAGAAAACGGCAAGCGAGCATGACAGCAGAATAAATAACTGCACATACCATATAACAACCCAATATTAGATTACCCGAATACAGTAATCAATAGAGACGGTGACAAATTTACAGTGACTGATGAGTCATTCACTCATTGGTGGTCAATAGAATGACCAAATATACATCAACAATTCTTAACTAATGAGTGAATGTTACATCAGTCAGGATGGAAGGAGAGTCCACTGTGATTTTGACACTCTCTACCAATACTCAAAATGAAGAAATTGATCTAAGAAATGATGGAAAGCTTACAATAGCGCCCATAGTATACTTGTACTCCAATATAATTCTTCCGGAAAGATAATAGTCAACAAAAGGGCCGAAAACGAGAAGTGAAGCTGCTTGGATGGGTGCTGTTTTGCTCAGCAACTCAAATGATCCAATTGAGTACTTCTTCTGCAGGGAACCTATTGACTGCATTGCAATAAAATAAGTGGCTGCCATCAGCAACAAAAGCATATGATAAAATAATCTGAGGCAATTTAAGGGTGAAAACATAAGTTTGGGCCTCCTTTTCTGGTAATAGATGGCTCAAACTTACTACTTCCAATGCAATAAATGCTGCAGAGGAAATTGACATAATGCTTATAATAACATCTAAATAATTACGAGTCTGACACAAAAGCAGCATTTCTCACCGCTATATTAACTTATTTACGGCATTATTGCCTAAAGAGATGGAAATAAAGATGTTTACCCCCAATTAGAGAAAGAAATAAAGTAAACATGACAAAATGGTACTTACAATTTGTTGCAATGACGTTGAGAGCACCGCAACACAAGCACATATGAATCCTTTGGCATTGACTTTGACATCTGTAACAGTGCAAACACCGACACCTATAACCACAACTACTACAGCCATCTTAACTTCCCTTGAGTACTGTTTATTGTGAAGTATCCACTCCATTACACAGACTACTGGGATCATGCTCAATTTCGAGATCTACACAGGAAATAATATAAGTACATCAGTGAGTTGAACGTACATGTATTTACATTTACATCAGAGGAGAAATGATAATCAAGTAAATTTTAACTAGGAAAGTAAAATCTAAATCTACTTCTAGATAGAGAAGTTTCTTCAATTCGGAAATTTTTAACTTGTAGAGAAGATTGACCAGAGAAAATGACAATGGGTTATAATGTCTTCGTCTATTCATCTTCACTTTGATGTTTCATGTTTTGCCAATAACCCTTTTGAAGTACATTGCAAGGAAGCCTCTTTATTACTGTAATTATTAAACGCATCGTAGATGGTTGCAAAAATAACATTCCCCACATTTTCGAGTTATACACTAGATATCCAAATGCAGAAATCATCCCAGATTCTGTACATGTAGGTAAAATCAGTTAGGTCCAAGAGTTTGGTGCTTCTAAAAAACTTAAAAGGCAATCCTGAGCCTCGAAAACAACCCAAACTTTATGTTTTCCACAACTATTTTAGCCTTAAGAAAGAATTTAACACCCTTCTGCATGAAAGAAAATACGGCAGCTACTTAGACAACATAAGGTCAGTAATTAGTTGTGGCAGCATCAAAACCAGCAAAATCTAAGGAACTTGGAAAACACCATTACACCAAGACAGAAGAAGGCAAAAAATCGTTTTCAATAGATTCTTTCCAATTCTATTTATATCTCGCCGAGTAGAGGGAAATTTCAACCATCATTCCCAAAACAGTAGAAAGCCTATGATTCTAATTAGGCTGAAAAATACAAAGAGTAATAAATAATGCAGGAGGTCATACTTGTGGTAGGTGGTTCTTACTTGGTAAAATCCCACGGAGTTAAGCATAAGACTTAGATTCATCCCAGTAATGGACATATTAGCAACAATTGAGAACCAGAGAAGCTCCCACAAAGGGACATGTTTTGATGCCGACAATCCGGTCGCATTTGACACCATCCCCACAAGTGCAGTCACAGCAAAATGGAAACCAGTCAATGTAGTTGCTGCCACCCAAAATAACAGAGCAAAACCCATCAATCACGCAATTCAACATACAAAGATTTGAATCAATTCCCCTCCCAAAATTGATGACAATTAAAGACATGATCATAAACAAAAAAGGAAAAGCCAGATCTTGATGGAATTCTGCATGAAAATTGTAATCCCAGAAACTGGACAAAATTTTGAAACAGGTAAAAGAGAGATCAAGAAAGAGACTAACCGAAGCTGAAGGAGTAACCACCGGCGGACATGAGCTGCTTGTTGGCCATTATAATTCCGACCGAACTGACAACATTCATAGCCCATGCTCCAACATCTGACACCGCTGATTGTTTCTTCTGGGCCTCCATTATTTTTGCTCTCAAGTACACACAACCGGCGACCAAGAAGAAGGCGGCAAGGCAAGGCAACCAGGCGGCTAGGACTGAGTAGCACCAGCAGGAGCAAACAGAAAACAAGGGGGGGAAAAAAGCAACAGAGATCCGCAACCCCCCTCAAGAGATAAAGAGGGACGGGATCAAATTCAATTCAATCCCAATTCAATTCAATTGAATTCAATTCAGATGATGAAAACCGGAGAAGAAGAAAGACAGCCCAGATCAAGGAATTGGAGGAAATGAGGGAGAAAGTGAAAAGAGGCAAACTTTATGTGTGTTACAGTAAGAATGTAGTTTGGAGTGGGAAGAGAGGAACATGTGATTGTGTGCGTTGCGTTTGCGTATTTGCCTAAAAGGGATGCTGAAGGAGAGAGATTTGATGTGTGTATATATGAGTTTGATAACGTGATGGATGGAATTGGAGCAGAGACAGACACACAGATAGAGAAAGAGAAAGAGAAAAAACGCACACACACATACAAAAGAAAATCAAAATACACAAATTTAGAAGCTTTTCTCTTTTTGTGGGTTCGAATTTTGTAAAGAGGATGTATGAAATTTGAAAGGGAGAAACCGAGAAAGAGGAAGATGATGAGATCTGTACAGTGAATGATGATGATACGGTGTATTATGAATGGAATGTGGTAGGAGGATGGTAAGAGTTGAGACTCTCAGACAAAAACAGATGTGGTATACGCTATTTAAGGTCTTTTAATTTTTATCCTTATTATTTGGAAGTGATAATTAAAAGAAAGAAATATTGAGTGATTGGATTTTATTTTTCTCATATACTTGACAAGACAACAATGATTAATGCTAGAATTTGTATATTTTGGATTGTGTTAGTAATGTTGTAAATTATAATTTTTTACAGTGATGTTAACATAAATAAATCTATCTTATATTTTTGTAAAGGAAGAAAAAGAGGTTGAGTATTACTTTAGTCTCCCATTTACTTTTATAATTTCACACTCTTTTGTGTTGAAACTGCTAATCAGTCCATTTTCGTTCCCCAAATTATTCTCTCTTTCTATCAAAATTTGAGCAAGTAACTATTGTCAATGAGGATTTACCGCAGTGGGGCGGCCTTACACCCTCACCCGCATGATGCGGGTTCGACACTCAGGGAAGAGAAACGGGAGTACATTTGAGCCGTGTATAAAAAAAAAAAAAACAAGTCCTCTCTGTTTTAAAATTATTGTCTAGTTTGAGATTTCACTTTTAGTACAATTTCAAACTGGATAATAATTATATGACGGAGGGAGTAATTATTTACAGAAGAACTTCTCTAAACTAATCTTTTATACATTAATAATAATTACTAAATAATATTTTTTAAATTTCAATTCGAGACCAGACAAAGTTTTAATTTATAAATTAATGGAAAAAGAAAAGATACTACTAGCTATAAGCCTATAACACTTAAAGAGTAGGAATAGAGGAGAAAGAGGAAATGGGAAGAAATCGTTTGTTATAAGTAAATGAATAGATTTAATATCAGTAATTACGCGAACAGTCAGGAAAAAAGAGCCCGCCGCGAAATCTTGGAAATGTAATGCCTGAGTTATAAAAGATGGGGGGACATAAATAGCTAGTTCCTCATAAATTTGGTATTTTAACATCACTAGTGATGAAGGGGAAATTTTTTTAACTTTGTTTGGACGGAAATTTTGAAAATTCTCCCACCGTTTTGTTCCAACTTTCCATAAGAAAACCTCGACCATGTCAAATTTCAAAATGTTGACGTTTCAACATTCAAATCCAATCGTCCACCCGGCACACGCTCTTAGTGCTATTTTTTTTTAAGGTTAATAGTTAATATTTTATTGGTCCCAAAAAAGTTATCTACATAAACTATAGAATGTATACTAAAATTAATATAAATGTCAAACTATGAATTAGTATTTTTTTAGAATGAGGAGAGTATTTTCTTAGAATGCTTTTAGGTGAATCACACTTTCCTTTCCACAATAACTACAATTGCAACCCACATGCGCTTCGGAGTTTGGAGTAAAATAAGTCAATTATTAAGATCCACCCATGATGATGGTGAATATAGTTAATTAATTTCCACATACAACAATTAAAAAAAAAAGGCAAATTGCTCAGTTTTTTATTGCAATATTTTAGTATTCGTTCTCCTCGTACCTCCTAATTCTGATTTTTCTGTGTCACAAATAACAATTAGTTTAATGCAACTTCCTGGAAGGAAGATGGTGAATTCCCTGAGATTGTCAGAAAATGTGTGGTATTTAAGTAACAATTATTACTAACCATTGTAATAACTATTTTGTTCATTCACATGCCTCTCCATGGGCTCCCAATTTATTTCGATTTTTTGGATACTCAAGATTCTTTTCCGTATGTCTATTTCTTTTACAGCGTCTTCGGAACAGATCGATCGTATTAGGGTTGCCACATTACGGTTCCCTATCGAACACATAATACATTCAGCCAGAATAGCCACCATCATTTTTGTATCTTTGTATCATCACAGACTCAGAATCCGAACCCGACACTACTTTACTCAAGAGTGTTGACTAGCTTTTCCATTATTTTAGTTAGGGCTACTAGCACGTAACTGAACAGCAATCTATTAAAACTATCAGGTTTCCGTGCAAATTAAGTCACCTTTTTCCCAAGCATTTGACATCTTTTTCCTGCAATTAGAATCTGCTTCCCATTCCCCACTCTATTACTCATTCACTAATAAATAAAGGACAACTGCACACACAGCTAATGGCATACATATAATAAAGATCCCAGCAACAAAAAAAGTCCAGAAGCTAAGACAGATAGATAGGTGCCCTAGGCACCACAATAAAAAATCACAGCGGTTTTCAATTCATATGTTTACCATGTACACTAAACACCCACACATCTCAGTACTACCCTCATGTTCCCCCCCAAAACATGATCAATCTCTGGTACAAGATGGCCCTCAATTATTAGAATTGAGTGGCACAATCTGACCCAAAAAATCAGGCTCAACCAAGAAATCATTCACAAACAACTGCAAATACATTCAACCGGATACATACGTACAGGTAAGGGGTGAGGGAAATGGTAGTTGTAATCGTCATCCTCCCAGCAAGCTTCATTAATGTCTCTGAGCACCCGGAGGTGCAGTTGGCATTGGAAAATTGAAGTTGAACGAACCACCACCAGAAAACTGGGGAGCCTCCACGTATGGGCTCTGGAAGAAAGATCCAACCACAACCCAGAGTTAACATACAAAAGTTATCATTACTTTTCTCATTAGTTTGTATCGTACAGGACCATCACTTGATGGAGAACAAGAAATTGCATCAGACAGTAAAGAAGTGAAAGAATTGTATCCAATTCCATATGATATCTCATCAATATATCTAGAGAATGGGGAGTAAATCTTTTAGATACTTTTTTTATTAAATCCGGGAAGAATAGCAACACCACAGAAAGGAGAAAATGTGTCTGAATCAACAGAAAGGAAGGATAAAAAAGCCAGCAAGAAGAACTTTACAAGTGAGGAAGTTCTCAAAAATAGCTTAAAACTCACCGGGATAAATTCTAGAACTAATAGTGATGGGTTCCTTAAACATGAAATACAGTAATGTAGCAATAAGTACCTGCAATGAAACAGTTGGGCCATCATCATCCGAATTTGAAGAGTTTGCCGGTTTATTTGGAGGAAAGGTATCACGATGATTTGATTCATCTCCATTCAGTTCATGTACAGGAGGATTGTTGTTTATTGCTTTGTCAGAATCATTCTCACCGCCAGACTTTGCCTTCTATTAACATTAGATTTTGTAACCAAAAATAAGGAAAAGCAGAAAACTCACGGGACACCAAAAGGGTACTGTAATGTAAAATGACCAGTTACCTGGAATATTTTCCCGAGGGTTTTCAGTCCCTTGGCTCTTATACGGAGTTCCTCTTTCTTTGCACTATTGTCTTGTAGAACCTAAAAAGAATACAACTAAAATATCAAAAAAACAAAAGGAATGCTGTTTAGAGCAAAAACTCAAAACTTATACACCTAAAATACCATTTGACAAACACGGGCGAGGGTGGCTTCGATATCAGCAACATTTAGCTTCCATAGAGAATCAATCATTAACTTCTTGTGAGATTGCATGTACTCCTCAAGTTCTTCCTCTGTATAGTTTCCTTCTTGACTGAGCTGCCGTTTCATATCCTCTTGTAGCTGAATCAAAGCAATTGCACCTGAATAAACAGATTTCGGTCAATTTATTGGCCAAAACAGTACGACAGTAAGGCTGACTTTAAAAGCCGGTAGGGAACAGATGATTAACTTCAGCAAAAAGAACATGTATCTGATACAGACAAAGATCAAATGCACAAATGGCCGGTTCACATCAGAATGAGTGATAAACAAGTTCACAACTATCTGGACCCCCTACCCCAGTCGCATCTTCATAGCTTAGCCGTAATTATCAAAACTATCATGTGAATAATTCAAAACTATTGATTAACAAATTAGCACCCTCGACCCTTAAACAATCATAGCCAACACCTACCCATCAGAGCACCTAAGTCCAGTACCCTAAGCATCCAAAAAATAGAACTTACAGGCACAATTTTAATGCGCACACACAAAAGTTCCCTGAACAAGGTCAATGAAGGTAATTTGTCACTCTCAAAATGCTCTTCCCAGTTCAATTGTCTCGAGCTTCTCACTGTCGTTCCATTAAACATAATGTACTCAAATATACAATGCAATATCGGATCTAAGCTCATCTCACAACCAAAAAAAGCAGAGAAAAAGAACCGCTTAAATTGGACATAAACTAACCAAAAGTGGCAGGTGCTCAAGTCCAGTAATGTAGTACTAACAAGTAATGGGAAAAGGTAACCAAATGCATCACATTTTTGGTCTTACTCACAACTGTATGCTAACCTGTTGCTGCAGTCACTTGGGACTTAATTGAATGTCCTTTATTTCTGAACCACTCAGCGACAAATGGAACACCCAGATATATTGCCTTCTTTCCCAACTCTTTAGCAGCCTGCCTGACGTATATGTACCCAATTGTATTCAGCATATCAACACCATAAGCTGCAAATACCACCAAAACAAATGAGAAAATACTTTAGAATCCAATGAATTCAACAGCATGCAAACCAACTCAGGAGTATCATAATTTGCAACTCAGAAATCCACGAATGCGCACATATTTATAAATACAAACAGAACAATCCCCAACCTTGAACGGATTAAGCATTGAGATAAAGTAAAAAATATAAACTAAAAAGAGAATCATAGGCCATATAAATGTCACCAAAAGCTTCAATCGCTATACAGGCTTCGGAGAAGTAATAAAAAGGACTAGCTCTAAGACTTGTTTAAACATGACATATCACAGAAGTGAAATGCAAATAGCATGAAAGGCATCATACCGGCACTAGAAAGCCTTGACACCTCCGCTTCAGCCTGACGTGTAAACTCTTCTTTATTTCCTTGTATGTACAGGTTTAGTCTATCTTTCAATATCTGAGCAAGCTTCTCTTCTCTTTCCTTTTGAATGACCTGACATGGAGGACAAAAAACATTGATCCCTACACAATATTGAACAAAATCAAATACTGATTCACTTGGCATCCCTAGCTTCCTATGTGAACGTGATCCATTCCACAACTAATACCTTTAAACAATAAGAATGATGTGAAGGGAAAGCCATTCAACTTTGATTGAAAAAAAAAAGAGAAAGAAAAGTGGTAATAATCACAATTTCGGCGAGGATAACAGACTGATCATTAGACAAAGGGGTCAACCGAGAGTAATAAGATCTTAAAAAAGTGCCAAGTAAATATGTATCTGACGAAGATTGAACATACAGATACAATGCCGGAATTATACCCGCATTTTCTCTTGCAGCTTTCTAGTATCAAATTCTTCACCCTCCGTGAAGATCTCCATTGAAGCCATTGACGCCATCGCAAGCTGGCCAATATATTCCTCAAAAAGCTCACTTCCAAAAAGCATGGCAAAGATTGCTGCAGGATCAATGATAGCATCACTGTGGAAAACAGAATAGAACAGGCAAAAGTCAAATCAACAACAGCTCATTCCAAAAAGTATGAATTGTATTACAATAACTGTACTTGGGCCTTGAAGAATGTCTTTATACAATATTAACCAAACGTCAAGCGAATGCAACTCAGGGTACAATGAACATTTAGCTCAAAGTTTTGCCATTGTGTTTTCTTTTTATACCATACAAACAATGAAAATTATAATGCCCATTAGCCAATGCAGCAGGACGGAATTCTTTGTCTAGTTCAGCTTCCAAGTTTAGGGTAAGAACATATGGTTAAAAAACCTTGACATCAGGTCTTCCCCTCTGGCTTTCAATTTGAGTTGATGTTACTTTAATTTCTTCTCACTTATGTGGGGCGTGAATGTTGCAGTGAAAGACAATGATGAAACAATTAAATATTACAGACATTTGCATGAGTGATCAGACATTTGAAAAAAATTGCTACAAGTGTTGAAATCAGGGATTACAAAAGAGAACAGCCTACAATGAAGGAGAATGGTATACACACTATTTTTAATTATTCACGCATTCAATTATTTCACAAGATTGAGTCTTCCCTGTTAACTTTAATATGCCATGGAAAATTGAAGGGCAAACTTCAGTGAAGCACAAAAGGGGGCTTGTCTGTGGCTTATTGACTTTGATGCAAGCAATAATAATGAATATGAACCAGGTTTCAGAAAATTTAATCATTTTAGAGTTGAACAAGAAACTGACGTTGAAATTCCAGATTTCCCAAAACTATCATAAGCTTGTCGTTGTGCAGGATCACTTAGTACTTGGTAAGCCTCTCCAAGAACCTAAAATCAAAAAGAATAAATTACTGGACCAATAAACTAGGTGCAAATTATCAAAAATTATTTTACAAGCATGCTGAATGCAGCAAGAAGAGTATTTTTAATAATCTACATGGTTTACGCCTCTTATAGTAAACCTCATTACTATTGATTGGAAAAAGAAAAGAAAAATTCTTTCTTGGTTGCAACAAAAGTATCCCACCCTCAAAGAACAGCAGAAAGAAACTTTTCATTTTTTCCAATTATTTCCTTTGTCCCTGACTCACAGCAATTCTGAAGAGGGATCAGACAAGAGTATGATAATGTAAGTATCATTTCTGTTGGCTCGCCTTATTTGTATGTGGTGAAGCTACAACCAGAAACATAACGATGAAGAAAAACTAAGTTGATGACAGTGCATAGGAGCCTTGCATAGTTGGTAAACAGAGTCTTACTTGGAACTTTTGGGCTGCTTGAGGATCATTCGGGTTTTTATCTGGATGAACTTGGCGCGCCTACGATCACCCAATAGCAAATAATTAATAAACTACTCGACGTGTGTTTCAACATTGCATATAAAATGGTTGTTTTCTCCATATTTATTAAATAAAATAGCTTTGGAAATTACACCAAGATGAAAGCTGCAAGTCTGATCCTGAGGAGAAAATATTTTAGAAAATGCCAAGTATTCTTCCACAACATGGTTGTAGCATCTGAAGGAGTAAGAAAACCTCAGGTTTAACAATAGAAAAGCATACTTAACATAGACCAACCAGCCATTCTCGAACCATTTTTCTATCTAACAGTCTCACATGTAGAGGGAAAACTATAACAGTGACCCCTCTTACTACACGGACAACAATCAATGCTTCAAATCTTTTGAAACATTCTTGTGCAAAATTTTAAACTTGCGGTTTTAATTTTTAGTATCAATATTAAATTTTAATGAAATAATGTTCCTTTTTCAATCTCTTTACACCTGAAAAACAGAAAACAAATAGAACCTAGCTAGTCAAAATCATGGACACATACTACCTATTACACACCGAAAATAACTCTCTAACTAATTTGTACTGCAAACTACAGAGAAAAATGCCACAAAAGTATACTGTGAAAACAGTAAGATTCATGTGTTAAGAGACAATTAAGACCACTTAAAATTCAGGGTCAGCAACATCCTAATACAGGGATCCATCCTCTTTCTTAGCACAGATTCGTCCCACAATAATTTGCTGAAAGAATGAAGCATCAAGTAATTGGCTCCATGTATAATACTATATATCATCTATTAGGCAAATAAATGAGACACACAATAAACATTAATCAGAACAGGGAAGACGGAGCAAATTAAGGGAGCGGACCTTAATGTAATACGCTTTCTTAATCTCAGCTTCGGTGGCTGTTGGGCTAACTTCTAGTATATCGTAATAATCCGTCTCCTTCACCATTTTTCTCTCCTCCTCTGAACCTCCTCCGTCTGTAGCTCCCGCCGGCACCGATTACTTGATTCTGTACTCTGACTCACGATCACAAACTCAGGCAGCGGAGTGAAATTGTTATTCAGGTCAAAGATGAAGGTTTATTAAGCATGATGATTTGGCTAAAAACTCCTTCCAGATTCCAATACTTCAGCTGAAGAAGAAGCTGAAGAAGCAGCAGATTTGGAGAGCCCAAGAATGGCGCCGGTCCGATTTGATTCCAAGAAATTGAATTTAAAAAGAAAGTGATTTTTTTTTCAGAATTTGTAAATTTTTTGGAGTAAGTAAACTAATCTGAAATTTCTCATCACAATCTGACAGACAGCTCCTCTTTTTTCCCCATGTCGATTTTGAAGCTTTCCAAGTTCCATCCTGTTGGTTGGTTGACAGTTGACCCCTCAGGGCCAGGCCGGGCCGGGCCCGAGCTGCAACCTCCCTTCGTTAACACATAGGCCCTTCAAATTTATTCTTCTTCCACATTGCCCCTTCAAGTTTTTAAGAAAATACGTTTATTCAATTGAACTATTTTATTATGTCAATTATTATAAAATAAATTTTGTCTATGTATTTACCAATTCTATCTTAATAATTCCTTCGTCCCATAATTATTTTCCAATTTGAGTTTTCATTTTTAGTTCAAATTGTACTAAAAATAAAACGTTTAATTGTTCAAAAAATCCCATAACTTGGGGTGCTATATTTATTTGGTCCCAAAAGACCAAAATCGTCTTCCTCAAGTCCCATAACTTGCATTTCCACTTTTCCGTTAGTTGACTGTTAAAATGGAACGGCACATGCTTCTCACATAACATTTTGTTAAAGGGCATTCTTTGAATTTTAGTGCTGCGTGCGTGTGAAAACCTGATTAAAGAGTTCTATTAGAATAAAAAAGAATTTTGACACGTGTTAGGCATTCAATAAAATGAAAACACAAACTGGATAATAATTTTGGGACAGAGGGAGTATATTTTATGTAGAAAATAAAATGAAAATAGGCATTCAATTAAATTTGCGCATTGCATTATCTATCTGGAACATTTTACTCAGTTATAATATTTTGTTCAAAATTTATAATTACATTTTGTATTCTTATTTATTAGATTCCCAAACTCAGACTTGATAAACGTAAATTAGATCGACTAAGCATAAACTAAATAAAACAATTCCAAAAAGGAAAAAAAAAATTTATCATTCTCTTTTACCCAATAAAAAAGACTGAGAAATCATTATTTTTCTCTATTGATCCTTAATTAATTTATCATTCTTTCTTCATGAGCATCGATTAAACTTGCCCAAACAAATGCATCACTGATTCAACTGAGCAAGACTAAAAACAACTAAAACTATTCTTCTTCTTCTCGTCTTGAAATGATACATGTGTAAATATTAGTAACCAATACTTGTTATTCTATTTACAATAAATGTTGGTTAAACTTGGAAATGTACCCATGGGTAGCACTGAGGAGGATAAGACTCACTTGTATAGTTAGAATTTTTTTTTTTCCTGAAATCAGTACTCATTGCTACTGAAAAGATAAGTAAAGTTTCAGACCATTTCAAAAAGATTCCTTATTAGATGATAACGCAAAACTTCAATGAATAGTTGATCTTTTAATAAACTTATATAGTGGTTGTTGGAATAATCCAAATACTGTAGAGACCTTCACATCAAATTATTGAGAACTATACGAAAGCGGAAACGTACCTTAATCTGTAGCGGCAAGAACATTGATGCGGTTTGGCCTTCCAGATGATTCCGTCAAGTGCTTACGGGAACCTCTAACAAATGGAGAGTCGGAGATTTGGCATGACGGCTCATCTGGGAACCACAACCAATATATAATAGGGTTTTCGGTTCCACCCATCACAGAACAGGAAACTGGACCTTAGGGTTTCTACACAATACTGGGCCACACCTTATAACTTAATTATTATAATTAGCCCAAACTTTAGTTGATTTAATTGGATCACTTTATGTGGGCTAGTATTTTATGATAGCTTATAACATACAATTATATATATTTGTGTATAAAGTCCACATAGATCTTACAGTGGTTAGTACGCTACTTTTTTGGTGTTTCTTATTTGCAGAATGTAATAACCTAACACACTATCTTTTATTCTTAAAAGAAATAAGGGATAAAATTGAAATTAAAAAGAAATAAGGGTTAAAAAAAAGCAATGTTTTATATAGGTAAAGAGAAAAACTCAGCCCCTTATGGTTTCGGGAGTGGGTTCTATAGAGAAGTATAGGATACTGTTGGTGGAGATGTCTGTAAGGCAGTCTTAGAATTTTTCAGGGATGGGATGTTACTTAAGCAGCTAAATGCAACCAATATCTCGTTGATCCCCAAGAATGTGTACCCTAAAGACGCAACGGAATACATGCCTATAGCCTGTTGTAATGCTGTTTACTAGGTTATATCTAAACTGATCAGTAAGAGGTTAAGCTTGGTGCTCCCTAAGATGATAGACCTCGATCAAGGTGCGTTTGTAAAGAAGAGGTCCATTCTTCACAATGTGCTATTAACACAGGAGTTGATACGTTTGTACAAAAGGAAAACGGTGAAATCAAGCTGTTTGATCAAAGTGGACTTGAGGAAAGCATACGATTCCATCCACTGGGGGTTTATACGGGAGATGTTAGAACACTATGGATTTCCACAAAAGTTTCAGCAGTGGATAATGGAGTGTGTAGGTACTAGCAGCTACTCAATTAGCATTAATGGTTCTAACACAGGATTCTTTAATGGCATAAGAGGATTACACCAGGGAGATCCCATGTCTCCTCTCCTGTTCGTAATGGTGATGGAATATTTGACACGAATGTTTAAGATAGAAGCGCAGAAGGAGGAATTTCAATATCATCCTTATTGTGCAAAGTTTAAAATTACAAATTTAAGCTTTGCAGATGACTTAATTATATTGTGCAATGCTGATCCTACTACTGTCCAAATGATAAAGAATGTGCTTGATAGATTTGTAGGTACTACTGGGCTTTCTGTTAACCTTCAAAATCTAACATCTATCTGGGAGGTGTCGATGAAATTCGGAGGGAGGAAATACAGAAGATACTGGGGTATGAGATTGGTGCCTTTCCAATCAAGTACTTAGGTGTCCCACTATCACCTAATGCTTGGATTCATGGTGACTGCCAAGTTCTTGTAGAGAAAGTTACAGCAAGGCTGAAATGCTGGGCAACTCACCATTTGCCGTATGCAGGTAGAGTGTTACTTATCAACTTTGTTCTCATGAATTTGCACTGATATTGGTCCAGCCGGGTGTATACGCGACCGTATATGAAAGATATTTAGTATACACGCGACCGTATAATTATTTTTTTAAAAAAAATCATTCCAATCATTCCTTCTTATACAAATAGAGGAAATTTTAATCTGTTGTAGGTATATGTGCGCACAATCTATGTGGCAATAATTTTTATTTTCTCCAAAAGACTTATTGTTTGCCATTCAAATCTTCCAAAAACCTCAATTTTATCCATGGTTGTATATATGTTTTGTGAGATTTAATTTTCTACAACAAACCAAAAAAAAGAATTACAAAATATGAGCGAAAGTGCAAGAAATAACAGAGCAATAAAGAGAGAGATCATAAGCATTTTGGGAAGGGTTTATAAGGATGGAGCGCAAAAAAAAAAAAAAAAAAAAGAGGAGTTAACCAAGAGTTGTAAGAAAAACCTTTATTACTACAATTATTAGAGTAAATGAAGAAGATGAAGGTTAGTTTTACTTCTCTTGTTCTAAATATTGAGAGTAAATGAAGAAGATGAAAAGATGAGTTTCATTTTCAACATTATTTAGAGGAGATGAAAAGACAAGTTTTTGATTAGTTTGATTGATAATAATGATATCAATGAAATGAAGAGTGAAATGACTCAAACACTTAGTGTGTAAACGAAAAATTCATGTGAGAATGACTACTAAAATTGCTAACATATACTCAATTTAGTAATATTATGGCAAGGAAAACTAGCAAAACCTTTCCAATATTATGTAATTATATATAAAACAAGGAAAAAAAGACAAAGAAAAAGATGAATTCGGAAAGATTGTATAGATTGGTATTGTAAAAGTTATATGTCTTTTACTTGGAAGATTTAAAAAAAAATAGCAATTTTGATCCTCATAATTAGCAATTGATGTATACGTAAATTTATTATTACGAAGAAGAAAATTGAACAAATTGATTGCATGCATAAATTGAAAGAAAACAGATCGATAGAAGGCAAAGAAGAAGAGAAAAGAGGGAAAAAAAAAATCAAAATTAAAGGATTGAATGTTTGAATCATATAAATAACCTTTTGCACATATAAAAGGATACTACCAAAGTTTTATGTATGAGAATAGAGAAACTCCATATTTATATATATAATTTGATGAGAATGATAGCCCCTATCAGCAAAGCTTACAATGTCTGTTAATTCATTAACATCATCAACAAACTTTAAAGGTAGTTTACGTAATTAATATAAGAAATTTTACACAGGTATACAAGGAACTAACTGATTGCTATACCCAAAACGTTGGTGTATGTCGGTTAACTTGTTTATCCAAGCGGCTCATGGGGAATTGACGATGATGTATCCAAATCAAGGAATCAGATATAGCTATGGTACTTTATTACTTGATTACTCAATCACCCTATTCACCTCCCCCCTTTTTTTTTCCAGTGAATTGAAATTTTTGTTTACATTTTTCTTTGAACAACCCATTATGTTGTTCAAAGGAGCAATACTTTATTTTATTTTTTGATAATAGAAACAAAAAAAAAAACAAAGAAGTCACAATTCAATAAGATGATTAGATGAATGAACTTTATTCATTAAGTTACTATAACCCATAATCATCATATTCATCAATAATGACAATGAGTTTTAGTCTTATTACATAGTGTGATAGATCAATTAATAAGTACTATAATCGACTAGGTAAAAAACTATGGGCATTTGG